CTACAAGATGGCGCTCATGTCTTTGCGCCATGCTCTATCCACGGAGAGTTCGAACTCAAAATCTAAAGATCTCCAAATGCCCAAAAAATTGAAAAAAATCAGATCTTCGTCCAAATAATTTCTACGGGCCTCCCACTCGCACACATCAGTACTTCCGGTATGTGATACCGATATGTGCAGTTGCTGTATTTTTTCCTTGACTATAAACTGAGAAAACGAAGATATTCGTGTTTTTCTAAAAGCAATGCTGAGCCGTTTTTGCATATGTAGTTCTATACTAAGAGCCTAGGTAAGTATAACTGTAGGTTTTCAGCTCATTTCGAACGGTAGTTTTCGAGAAATAACGAATTCGGATTTTTTCGTTTCAGTTTCAGTGCAAAAATCGACATTTCTCGAAAAGTACCGCTTGAAATAGGCTGAAAACCTACAGTTATGCTTACCTAGGTTTGTAGTCTAGAACTACATGTGCAAAAACGGCTCCGCATTGCTTTGAGAAAATCAGGGAAATTCTCGTTTTCTCAGTTTCTAGTCAAGGAAAAAATACGACAATCGCACATATGGATATCAGATATCGATAGTATTGATGTGAGCGAGTGGGAGGCCCGTAGAAATTATTTGGACGAAGATCTGATTTTTTTTCGATTTTTTGGGCATTTGGAAATCTTTAGATTTTGAGTTCGTACTCTCTGTGGATCGAGCGTGGCGCAAATACATGAGCGCCATCTTGTAGAGCTTGCTTTGCTCTATCGAACAGTACCCCTTACCCTTTGTTGGGTTGAGTCTGGTTGCTTTGTTAAAGCAAGCAAATAAAAACGTGCATTAATTATGAGACAACCTAATATTAGGTTGGCTAGAAAGTTCTTGCGTAATTCAAACAAAATCCATTAACTTTTCAATGACTAAACCTAAATTCACAATCTTGTTCTCTAAAAATATTAGAAGATCTGCGCTCCATGATGGATGTTTAAGCGCAAGATTTCATGAGCTAGACCCCGAGAACGAAGCTCTCAAATATGGGACTTCAAAATTTGCAATTTTGAGTTTAGTGCCAGAAAATCGCAGAGTGCCGCTAGCTAGCCGAAAAAAATCTGTAAAAGTTACTTACACTGCAGAAGTCCATAAGTTACTTTGGAAGGCTTTGATCTTGCACGGTGAAGCAAAAACAAAAAATTCGTGAAATAGTCATTTTGCCGGAAAAATCCACTCATTACCACAGTTTTTCGGCAAAAACAGTTTTTTACACTCCAAAAAACGTCGCAAGTTTCTAAATAGCCAATATGTCTTATTTCTGGTAGCAAACTGTGTTTTTGTAAAAAAATTACATCGATAAGGGGATTTATCCTGTAAAATGACAAATTCCACAAATTTTTTGTTTTCGCGTTTCCAAGCGAGATCAAAGCCTGCTAAAATAACGTATGGACTTCTGCAGTGCAAGTAATTTTTACAGATTTTTTTCGGCTAGCTAGCGGCACTCTGCGATTTTCTGGCACCAAACTCAAAATTGCAAATTTTGAAGTCCCATATTTGAGAGCTTCGTTCTCGGGGGCTAGCTCATGAAATCTTGCGCTTAAACATCCATCACAGAACGAAGGCCTTCTAATATTTTTGAAGAACAAGATTGTGAATTTAGGTTTAGTCATTGAAAAGTTATCGAATTTTGTTTGAATTACGCAAGAACTTTCTAGCCAACCTAATATATTAGGTCGTCCCGAAAGATTTGTCGGTTTTTTTAAACCACTATAAAACCACGCACAATAAACACCTGAATGAGTTTCAACATGCACTCGATGCAGCTTTTTCTTCTCTTTCTTATGGATACATTTTCGAGCCACAATCTTGTATGCTTTTTTCGATATTTGTTGAAATCTCCATCAGTCAACTTTATCTGCTCAAAGTTCGACTAATTTTTAAAAACTTCATTCTAAAGTTTTTGAAATGTTTAAGCATGATTCTAATAGAGCAATTCTTGGACTACAAAAAAATATTTTTAGATTCTCCGAACCTGTTGCTTTTAGCTTGAAAAAAATTATTTCTTAAGAGGTCTCGATTTTTGGCAAAGTCATGAAACACACAACTGCAGCGAATACACGGAAGTTTTCAAAATTTCTGCGAATTGAGAAATGATTCTTATTAAACATTATTTATTCAACATGACCAAGTTTGATTTGCCTTCAGAAAGCAGCTTTTTGGAATTTTCGGTACTTTTACGTGGTAAACGTAATCAAAAAGTCGCGGTTTTTATTAAATAACTAATTATAACGGACTTGGTAAACGTGGCCCATGCAATTTAAAATAAACAAAATGTAGCCAAAGGTTTGCTCTACATAACATTACCAGCGCTCTTTGAAATCATCAGGATAAAAACTTTCAAAATTCATGAAAGATTTGGCGTTACTGCTAAGCTGCTCAGAAAGCCATGGCGATAACATAGCAAAGACAAGATAGATCAGAGAGGAAATATAGCTGCATGAAAAAGGATAAAAATCTGAATCAAATGGTACCTATCTTGCCCGTGGATTGATGTTCTGTGAGTTTCAGTGATCGATGAAAGAAACCGACAAAACTTTCGGGACAACCTAATATATAGATTCAACTCTTTGGTATTGGTTCAAAGAAATAATTACGGGAAAATACAACTTATGATATACGCTACAAAAATAAGTGATGTACATCCAAAATTATTATTATTATTATTCAAACTTTATTGAAATGTTTTTTCAATACTTTTTTTGGTGCAAAGCCTCTGTGTCAGAATAATACTTGTAAACATAGTGCGATCTTTGCAAAACTAGATCTCCCCCCCCCCCCCCCCCTTCCCTCGTTCTTCTCTTTTACCAGTCCCCGACTGATAAGCTATCACTTCCCTTCTCGGCAATCAATAGTGAGCGATATCGTCTTTTGTTTAACATAACAAAACGATGTGTTCCCGATTGGAATTATTGGAATCTTTTTTTCTTACAACAAAGCCGCCTTTGTCTTCGATGGAATCTCTTGAAGTTTTCAAGCCGGTAGATTCTGCGCCGCATATCCAGCTTTTCACATTGAAAATTCTTTTATAGTATGTCGTGTTTGATTAGTTTTATTCTAAATAAATTGTTATCTTGTGTCGCGTTACTTGCACCCGAGTGTATGTCGTTCTGCCACATCAATTTTTTCTGATCATTAAGATATGTTGGAATGTAATCTTATTAACTAAGTTTTCTCGTAAAAGTAAGTTGCTGTTCTAGTATATGATTTTATGCAATTGAATTCTAAAAATGATATTTTTGTTTCGTGTTCAATAACTTCACTAATCCTCATCAGTAGTAAATCTAATACAAACAGTAGTTGCGGCAAAGTTTTCTATATGTAGGCCTTGCTTTACATATTTTCGAATTATCTTTGAAGAAGCCATTGCTCCACAAAAGTATAACAAGCAAAATTTTTCATATAGCTACAATTTTCATTGGACGCCAACAAATGTTTTGAGTTGCTTGCTTATCAGAGAATTTATTAGATTGTTGTGTGCTATCTGCATCAAAAAGTGTAAAAAAACTTTTTCAAATATACCATGTTGGTAGTTTATACTTAACGCTTTTGTTTGATTCTTTTGGTTCTTTTTCAATGCTTTTTGTCATATCAAGTTTTTAGTGTTTTGTAATACATATTAGAGGAAGTGGTTTGAAAAAATCAGAAGAAAAAAATGGAAATTATAATTACTTGCAGAGGCATCCACCACAAACTTATCTTATAGTTAGCTAGAAAAGTTACGTCTTGAAATCAAGGTCAGAAATAGATAAGATTTTAAGTTTTGATAGACGTTCTAGCATTTTTCGAATAAAATCAGAAATCACTTTTTGGGTTTTCTCTCGCTCTCTTAATCAGCTTGTATCGTTGCCGTAGTCAACAAGGAAGTTTAGTTTGAGCACTGCTGAAAAGCGCAAAGTTTTTCTTATACATTAAACCAAATGATTTCCTTGATATTTGAGAATGTTGCAAAATTTGTGAATATATTTCGGTGGAGGACTTATGTTTCAGTCCATAGTTACAGAAGCTTCTGTTATTCAAACATGTCAATTTTTGACTTATCCCTATCACACAAGCTTTGATCGGTAAATGGTCCGTCTTTTCAAATGCACAAGTTTTTCTTTGGGACCTTTGTACTTATTTACCTATCATGGGAGGCTTTGGTTTCTGATTTTTTTCTGAAACGTTTTTTCCTTCAAAAGTCTTATCAATGCATTATCTTTAATTTTTTGAATCATGTGAACACTTCTTGCCAATTACGTCTACCTTTTATCGACTTCTGGTTTGTGCAATCGTAGCTAACCTAGTCATAACCGTGCCCGTGCTTGCTAGGTTAAAGCGAGTGAAAACTGGTTAGCCATTTCCCAATGTTCGACAGAAAATAAGAGTTGACTGACCACACTTCCGCGTTGTGTTGTACATTTCCTTGTCGAAAAAAATTCCTTTCAGAAATTCTTTTGAATAGCAAGAAATCATTGTTGTAAGGTATCATATCATAGTCAGCCTCATTCCAGTAGATGTTTACTGGAGAATTCAAATTTGAATTGAGCACGCCCTTAGTAATTAGAGCATAACTTCTGGGAATTCTCGTGGGACAAATATGGTACACACTGTGTCAAGATTTTCCATATATGTGCTTTCGGGAGGTTCTAAATGAATCACTGCTTAAACGCCAGTCAATATGAGTCATAAGATGTTTAAATTTCAATTCCCGCCTACTACCGTAATCTTTTTGAACAACGCGTCTTTGGTTACGGTATTGGGCGAGAATTTAGGAACGATATTCTCGGCCACAGATGAATCTTACATGCTATTGCTGAAGTAGTGATTTTGTTGAACCTCTTGAACATTTTACATACAGATCTTTGGATTTGACTGGACACTGCCTCTAGGCCGTTATTACCATCAACTCTTTCATCTGACCTCCATTTCGTCGGCTAATTTCAATTTTTTCCTTTATTTTTTTCATCTATTTATCTTCTTGTATTTTCTTTTCCAGACAAGACGTCGACGAAACCGCTGGCTACTATAGGTCTCTTATTATTTCTGCTCGTCCGAACGCGGCATCCTTGAGCCGAACACATGATAATGTTAGATCATAATGAATGACACCACAATAGCATGCCATATTTGTGATGATCGTGCCACTGGTAAACATTACGGAGCCATTAGCTGTGACGGTTGTAAAGGTGGGTTTTCTTTTCTGCACGCGCCTTGAAGGGCCGAAGACGCAATTGCACAACGTATAGACGATTCATAGCACGCAAAGACTGCGGACGTGTCGGCGTCTCTCTGATCGAGCGCTCTTTCGTTTCCCTTACCATCTGCTGCCTCTCCCATGCACGAACTATTTCGGTCAAACGCAACGCGCCCAGTCTTTGCGTATCATGAATTGCGTATACCAAATCTCAGAATCTGCTTTTTTTGACCAGAGCACGAGACGCGACCTGTTCGTTAATGTGAAAAAGGCAGTAAATAGAAAAGGAAGTTACCAGACATTAGTGCATTGGCAAATTGCCATTTGCCTGTAATTGTAAATTTTACAGGGTTTTTCCGACGTAGTATTCGAAAACGACACAATTATGTTTGTCGATTCAACAAATGCTGTGATGTGACCAAAAGTAAGTTTCTGCCGATTAGTGTTTTTAGTACAGAAGTGGATTTCAATCCCGTTCAAAACAATCTCTGCTAGTATTTACCGAAATATTCTTTTTAGATCAACGAAATGCATGCCGATCTTGCCGTCTGCAAAAATGTATCGAAGCTGGAATGAAGTCCAACGGTATTTTCTTTGTATCTATACAGTACACATCAGTGACGTCCAAAAAAAATTTTTTCGCGGGAGGGGGGGGGGGAGACACAAATTGTAAGTCTCTCACTCGAAAAATCTTTTGGACGCCTTCCAATCTTTCTGTGGGGGACCCTGAAATTACAGTTTTTACCAAGTTTGGTTTGATTTTTGAAATTCTCAAAAACTAATTTGATCAGCTACAAGCAGGCAACTTATTCGCGCAAGTTCATGAGTCATTTGAAATTACTTTCAATCTCAAGGCTAGGTTCTGAAGAGTAGAGCGAGCAGTGGAGGGCATGAGGGGGGGGGGGGGGAGAGAATGGAGTTGAGATTGTGAAGTTCCAGGAAGTGGTCTATGCGTCAAAATTGTGCAATCAGTTGCATTCCATCTAGGAGCCAATTTTCCTCTAAATTCAGAAACTTAACCTAGAAAATTTCCCTAGAGGTTAGTGTGGCTAATGTCATGCACCTTCTTGAATATTCTACAATCTTAAATCTAAAAAAATTGAGAATTTTTCCAAAAATTTCATTCCCCTTATCGTCTTAAATCTGCCACTGCTTCCGCAGTATCCAGAAGTACGCATAAGGATATTTTTACCGCCATTTGATGAAGCGCAAGTGTAAGAATACACTTTAAATGGCTCAAAGCAATGTTTGCAGTAACCTATTTACCACAGTTACGAAATCATAGCAGTCGGTTATAAGTTGCTTAGCAGTGATGGCTTTGCCTGAATTCGAGTTGACGATTAATTTTGTAGCTATCCAAAATGAACGAGATGCAATCGGCAAGCGCAAAAAGCCTGAACCAGAAACAGAAGAACTGCTGGATGGCTTGTTACGATCAGAAAAGCTGTGCCAGCAGTTACGCAGTTCAGTAATCAAAAGTACTGAACAGGTTTGTGTAGGATGTAGATAAGTTATTTGAATTTACCTTTATTATAGCAAATGATGCAGGCCTCCTATGATTGCGGAAAAGTGAAGACATTGAGAATTGAAGACGATCGACGAGCCACTTTGGACGATGTGGGCAAAAGTATACATCAACAACTGGTTTTGCTAGTGGAATGGGCGAAATCTCTTCCGCAGTTCACGAGTTTGTCCATGGATGATCAGGTACATCATGTAATTTTTGTGTAGAAAATCGATAGATTGTGAGCAAACGAATGGGCTTACAGTTGGCTCTTGATTGGCACTCTGTACGACTGCACAACAGCGTGAGATCGTTTTTCGCGCGTGGTCCACTGCTTATTTCATCATTTGAATCACTCCGTGGATTTTTCATATAGATCAGCAAAAGTTGACGTAGACTAGACGACTGATGTAGTGTATCTGCTCAGACAATCGACGGGACCCCTCCGCCGGACAGTCCGAATCTGCCAGAGTCGCGCCGGACCCAGTTGACCAATGAGAGAGGGGCAAATGGGCGGTCCGTCGCGGTGACATCACTGGCAGGCAAGTGGGAGGCTTCTGCGGCCCTGCTGCAAAGGTCCGCCATTTCTCCGGCGCGACTCTGCCAGATTTGGCGGACTCGCGCCGGAGAAATTTGTCCGGCGCGAGTCCGCCAGATTTGGAAGAGCCGCGCCGGAGAAAATGGGAGGGGTCCGGAGCAGAAATGGGAGGCCTCCGGAGCAGAAAATGGGAGGTATCCGGAGCAGAAAATGGGAGGTATCCGGAGCAGAAATGGGAGGTCTCCGCCGGAGAAATGGGAGGGCTCCGCCGGACAAATGGGAGACCCACCGCTGGGGAAACGGCGCGACCCTGCCATTTCTCCGGCGGAGGGGTCCTATCCGCTGTCTGAGTGCCCTGCAGATATGTAGTGTATCTGCCCACGACACACTATCGATTTTTTCGTCACATGGCCTTTCTCAAACAATAATTGCGGACACCCGCGGTTCCTACCGCTGACTTTTGGCAGTGCGCAGACCTTAAGTTCTTGGTTTTACCGTCCGCAACCCTACAGTTGTTTGTTTGATGACCCGCCAGGAACCCCAAATGTTTTATCGGAACACTCGCGGCGCAAGAAAAAACGCTTGGGACTTGCTAGACCCATCGCCCCCCCCCCCCCGAGAATGGGTCGTGTAATTTTTGTATTTTTGTAATTTTCTTACCTATATGGGTTGTGAAAATGTGCAAACGACTTGTTTGCACTTGAAAATAATTGAAATAATTTTTATATTTTAAAAATTCATTTTAGCCCTATAAAAAATTTTTTTCGGGGGCGTGGCGAGAGCCACGCCCCCTTTTTTCAGACTTTAGGGGTCGGAGACCCGCAAAAATTTTGTGAAGCACCCCAAAAATTTTTCCGGAGTCCCCCCCCCCCCGAAAAAAATTTCCCGGACCGCCACTGCTATTAGGTTGTCTCAAAAGTAAACATTTTCAAATAAAGTGAGCTGTTTTTGTTCCCCTAATAGATGACCACCAAGGGTCCGCATAAGTCGCATCAGATGGGAAGTTTGGAGCCAAAATCGAAAATAATTTTGTCACCTGAGAATTGGATTTTTGCGGGGGAACATCCTACGGACCTCCAATTTGGTCATCCTACCAGGCTCATAGTAGTACTCAAATATGCCTCTACTGGGCTTTTTTCTGCGCACAGAAAGCGATGAAAGAATGATAGTCAAAAGCGGCAACACCCCCAGTCCCTCCCACATATTTGTACATTACAAGCTTTACTCAGTCTAATCTCAAAACTCCATGTTTGTACGTGGTTAGTACGTGGTTATGATCGAGAAATACCAAGTTTTACGTGAGGAACCCGAAAAAAGTGGCATTTGCATTTTCGGAACATCTTTGTTTCTCCATTTTGAGCCCCGGAAAAAAACCATAAAATACAATTTTGAGCTCTACGTTGTGTCTGCTATATAATGACCAAGTTGGAGGTCCGTAGAAATTTTCCTAGAAGGAGATCTGTGGCCGTATTCATCATTGATACCTTGAGGTAAATTCTAGTAGTTTTATCACTCATTATCAGCAAAATTACATTGAGGGTTTACCTCAAGGTACTTTGCGAATACGGGTACTTGCTGGTAATTCTTATATATAAAGCTGAATGTCTGTTTGTCTGTCTGTCTGTCTGTCTGTATGTATGTCTGTCTGTACGTATGTTCCGAATAGAAAATTCCATTTCTGAACCGATCGGGACCAAACTTGGCACACATACACTTCGGGCCCCGGCGGGTGTCATAGGCTACTTTTCGTCATCGATCGATATCGATTTTATCGATTTTTATCGATTTTTTTGCTGAGTTCACCTACGGGGCTGGGAGTTGGCACAGGGGGGTAATCGAGCATGGGGATTCCGAATACAATATTGGTTTTTAGGATTATCGATTACTTTTATCGATTTTATCGATTTTTTTGCAAAATTTGAGCTACGGGGCTGGGAGTTCGCACAGGGGGGTAATCGAGCATGGGGATTCCGAATACAGTATTGGTTTTCGGGATTATCGATTACTTTTATCGATTTTATCGATTTTTTTGCAAAGTTTGAGCTAGGGGGCTGGGAGTTGGCACAGGGGGGTAATCGAGCATGCTGATCATCCCCAAGGGGGGTGATCAGCATGCTCGATTACACCCCTGTGCAATTCCAGCCCCCTAGCTCAAATTTTCAAAAAATCGATAAAATCGATAAAAGTAATGGACGATCTTGAAAACTAATATTGTATTCGTAATCTGCATGCTCGATTACCCCCTGTGCAAACTCCCAGCCCCGCAGGTCAAACTTTACAAAAAAATCGATAAAATCGATAAAAGTAATGGACGATCCTGAAAACTAATATTGTGTTCGTAATCAGCATGCTCGATTACCCCCCTGTGCAAAATCCCAGCCTCGCATGTCAAAATTTACAAAAAATCGATAAAATCAATAAAAGTAATCGATAATTCTGAAAACTAATATTGTATTCGAAATCCCCATGCTCACTTCCCCCCTGTGCCAACTCCTAGCCCTGTAGGTGAACTCTGCAAAAAAATCGATAAAAATCGGTAAAATCGACATCGATCGATAACGAAAAGTGGACTGTGACACCCGCCGGGGCCCGTAGTGTATGTGCGCCAAGTTTGGTCCGGATACGGCGGAGCCGGGTAAGCCAGCTAGTGAGTGATAAAACTACCTGGAGGTAGAATTTACCTCAAGGTATCAATGATGAATACGGCCACTGATTTTAGGGTAACTGAAAAACCTTGCTTTTTGGCTCCAAATTTCATCTGGATTACGGCTTAGATGTTTTCGGTAGTCCTTTCGTAGAGCTTGCTCCGCTCTATCGAATGGTGTCTTAAAGGCTCATTTTTTTGGGCCTTTTCGATCCATAGACCACGAATCTGAGCTTTGAAACGGGTGAAAAGACCTTTTCGGGGCGTTTAACCAATTTCCAAAAGGCATCTCGGACGGGGATTTCAGTGAAAAGTTGGGAGGCCTAGCACGAAGACCCTGCTACCTGTAATTTTTCCTTTGGATAGCATGCAACAATGCGGTAGAGCGGTCGTGGGGTCCCGCGCCGAACGGTAAGCGAAGTCTTCCGAGCGCGCGCTGATTGGGGTTGCGCGCGTCGGTTCAAGGGTTATTTTCTCGGCCCGGGGGAAAATCAACTAGCTGGACTGTTCCTGGAGCTCAGTAGGATGACCAGGCACCCCACTATAGCAATATCCCCAGGGCGCAAATCTGCCTGGACACTGCCTTTAAGTTTGTCAGGCAAACAAAAACAGCTCAATTTATGTGAAAATGGAGTTTGCTTTGAGACATCTTAAAGGCAGCGTCCACCCAGAATTTGACCGCCCATGTTTTCGCCATTCTGGGGCCTTTCCCTGGCCCTGATTGCGGCTCCGAACTTCAAACTCCCCAAAATTCACAAAAAACCCGATTCTTGGGGACCCTGTCTTGAGGGCGCGGACGAGTTACGAATCGCTCGTCCTCGTCGGCACGCCAGCGGGGAGGAGCTGCACCTGCATGGGTGCAGTTGCAGCAGTGCGCAGCTTCTGCTCACTGCCATGTCAGTACGTGTCGAGTGGCAGACCCTGCTGGGCGGAGTCTGATATCAGGCTCCACCCAGCCAGGGACTTCCAGGCCCCGTATATCCATTCAGAGACAACATTAGAAGACCGAAGCAACGCAGATGCCCCTTTTCTGGGGCCTTCAGGACCGACACTAATCGGAGCGGGTTAGATTTAGCCTGGACACTGCCTTTAAAAGTTTCCTGTAGATTCGGGCTCTAGTGGAAGTTTGGCATATGGCAAGCCGCACCCTCTATCAACCGCCCATATCTAATTTCTGTAAAGCGCGCTCCTTGATGGGGGTCATGCACTATTGTCAGGCGAAGCCAGAGTCTTTCAGGCCATGGCCCGACGGGATACCTTTTCCAAATACCGGGCCTTGCTGGACGGTGCAGTACATGCTGTAAGAGAAAACGTTACTCGGAGATAGCCGCAGTGATAGGGCTACCTTTACCATTTGCGAAGTTGGTTATCGCATCTTGTTCCCTGGTTACACTGGAATGAGGTTCCTAGTTCTTGACTGTCAAACGACCACTATTGGAGTACTTGATGTTGGGGCCAGATGGGTTTTGAAAACCCATGAAACTTTGTTAAGATGATTTTGAATGCCCAAAAAATTTCTTGTATAGATGCGGCCTTTTAGTTAGGCTGAAAAAGAGAAACAGATAAACAAATCCTTGAAGTTCAAAATTTCAGTGTTTCATATATCGGGCCGCCCTCGAGTGGCATCTCGCACATTCATCGAGCACTTGCCGCGCTATTTGCGGGTATCGTTTGGGCGCTTATCGGGTCATCTGCGGGTACTGCCGGGCGTTTACCGGGTACCAGTCGGCGCTCCCTCGGGATGGGCGTGGTATCGCCTTTGGGTATCCGGCGGGTGCTCGTCAAAGTTGTCTGAGTTTTTATGCGCGGGTGTTAAACCTAAATAATAAATTGTCAAATCTACTGCACTATATGCACTCCAGTAACCATAAATTGTAGGCGGCGCTTCTGAAAGCAACAGCGGCACAGATAATCATTCTGGGTGTCGCGTTCCGATCGCTATCTGTAGACAACTCCATATGTCTAGCAAATGACACCCTCATTCCGAAGGAACATGCAGCCAACGTTGGTGACATAAAGTGAGCGGTTAGAACACTACTTGAGTTGCTCACATGTCGAACTTGATGTTTTCGACTTTTTAGTTGCGTAGTTGGGCGGATAATCGACGAATTGGTCTTACCCATGCGCCGGTTGGGTATGGATCTTTGTGAGTACGTTGCTCTCAAGGCAATTTTGTTTTTCAATCCAGGTCAGTCACACCACTGACAACGTGCTTGTGTTTGCAGGATCAATAACGTGATTGTTTCAGTAGCCAGGGATGTTTCTGATCCACTTTCGGTGGAAAATGCCCGAATAGCGTGTCTACGTGCCATAGAAAAAAGGTCGGTTTTGCCCGCAGTCAGGATTGGGTTTTTCCTTAACTCTGGGGATTCGAAATAGCTATGTTGTTAGGTGCCAACGTGCCTCTTTGATCACGTCATCGGAATGTCGATCTGGACGATTACTACTGCTTCTTCCTTCTCTACAGGCTGTAGCGCAGCAAATGGTGTGTTATTCGTGAAACCTCATTGATTTAGTCCTGTAATTCATTTTTTATTTCCTTTTAATATGCACTCGAGCAGCGCCGTTAAAAGAGCACAGATGCACAAACAGAAGTCTAGACAGTCACGCAGTACAATTAGGTAGAATCCACTACCCCTGCTGACCAGACTTCTGCAATGCTAAAAAAGGTATTAGAGGAAGGCCATGGTAAAAAGAACCACGTCAAATACTGATGTGTAGTAGAAGCACTTCGATATTCGCGTCCTCAGCTTAATGCATACCAATTCACCAGCGGTGAAATATTCATAACATAAGCTAGTGCATTTTGGTGGTTAATCCACCAAAATTTGAGAATGTCAATAGTTGTCAGAAGTTTTGACTTCAGGCATTTAAGAATGTTGTAGCTTGCTGTAGTGCCATTAACGGAGCATGATGTATTTGTTGGATTACCATCAACATGGATTACCATCACTTTCAAGTGATCCGCATTAGAGGTAGTACTAAAGCGATATGGCTACTCCAAGTACCTAGGTCCATCAACTACCTGCATCCACTTTCTATTTGAGCAACATGTGTAAATATCACGTCTAAAGCTGCAAACAATACAGACTAGTGAGATGTAAGACTTCGCTTCGCTACGTAATTCGCCTGAAACTCCACTTACTATTTTGCATTGAATAGAAATGAAGAAATATCGTTTCCGTGAGAGAGGTATAAAGTTGATATAGATCATAAGAAGGGAGTTTTGATAGTATGACTAGCAGCACTACAATCACAGTATATAAAAACCAGCCGCTCTCTGCTGCCGCTACGCGGCAGGTTCGGCTGGTAGCGGGCAGCTTTGCTGCCTCTAAATCGTTCGCTTTACTCTGAATTGCGGAAATGTGAGAATTTGCCATTTTGTACGATTTATAACCTGCGAGGAAAGAAAAGCTGAGAACATTATCTCGGCTTTGTTACATTTTGGTTCAAATTGTAACGTAAGCAACGGATATCACGTAAACTGCAAAAAACCAATAAGGGCAATAAGTGTGTCCCGAAAAAATGACCTTAACAACAACGCCCAACCCTGTATATTAGGTGTGCCAAATTTGGATCAGATTCCATTACTTTCTCTGTCCTTTCTAAGCAAACATGAAAAATTTCTAAGCAAAACCCACAAAAAATCAATAAATCGATAAGGGCAACCTGTGTGTCCCGAACAGAATGACTTGTTAACACACGCCCATCCCATACAATATGTCTGCCAAATCTGGTTCAAATCCTGTGATTCTTTCTTTCCTTTTTAGGCAAACATTTTTTGAGCAAAAACTGCAAAAAATCAATAACTCGACTGAGGCAATTGATAGGTCTTAAACAAAATGACTTATTTAAACACGTCCCATCCCCATCCTTGTAATACTACATCTGCCAAGTTTGGTTCAAATTCCATGACTCTTTCTATCCTTTTTGAGCGAAGATACAAAAAGTGGCTAAGCCAAATATTATGTAAGTATTGATTTTGACTCATATCGAAGGATGCTGTATAAGTTTCATAAACATCCTTCACAGATGCCCGATAGTCTGTACGAAGCAATGAGCCACATGTAATCATTCGATGTAAACCATGAGACGAAGTTGGCCTTAGAACTATAAAACTGCAAAGTCGTTCGAATAGGGTAACGCCCGAAGCAAACGTCTTGAAAATCAAATCAAATTCGAATGAGAATCACCTTCATCAGCGGTCAGATCAAAATTTTGCAGTTCCTTTTCGTAGACTATCATGACTTATAATAAGGGCTAAGGATGTTTACGTGACTTTGTCTGTGTGTCTGTTACGAAATTCGTGGAGCGTGTTCCAGCCAGCGTTTTAAGCCCAAATTTTGTATAGCGCATGCTACCTTCATGAAAGTCCAACATGCAAAAGCACGAGTAGATTCGTTGAGTGGATCCCTCAGAAATTGCGTGCCAAACGGGTCCACCTGGCTTCTGTACCGCAAAATTCGGTCCGTTTCACCACTTTTTGCAGAGTCGTGGATGAGTTTGGTAAGCAAATGTGCAAGCGATGGAGTTTAGCCAGAAAAGTGTCAAAAGTTTACTACATAACGAAAACGGCGCCAAAACGAATTGGTTGTGTAAATGGTTAATTGGCCAAGGTTCTAACTAAGCGTTTGAGAAGATTTTCGCACAGAGATGTAGCTCACGGTTATCATTACCTTTATGGCGACTACCAAGTCATGACAAATCCAAAAACCTATTCAAATTTGCGTTTGTCTTCCTGCGAAAAGTTTCATCCACGCGAAATCACCGATCTCACGTGAAAAGACTTTCTAAATGAGTGGTTGTTTACATTTTATTCATGGTAGTCGGCATAGCGCGGTGAGTTCCATTGCCACGATTTTACGAGAATGGTTAAGGCACATAGATAGTAGAGCCAGTGCGAACCTCTGCGAAGCAGAGGTGACGCACTGGTCACTAATAAGTGAAAACAACACGTTCTAAAAGCTTTTTCATGTATCGTTCATTTCGCTTGGATGAAACATTTCGCAGAAGCTTAATTGAATTTGAATCGTTTTTGAACTTTTTAAGGCATAGTAGAAAAAGGACAACGGTCACCATGAACCACATCTCTGTGCAAAGACCTTTCCAAATGCTAAGCTAAAATCTTGACAAATTGACCACTTACGCAACCAACCGTTTTTGTCGCCATTTTTGTAGACAAATAGACTTCTGACTTTTCTTTTTTTGGCTCAAGGTAGCACATTCACTTACCAAACATATCCATGTCTTTGCAAGAAGTGGTACTACGGACCCACCTTTGCTGGCCAGAAGTTGAGTGGAGCCGATTGACGCGCAATTTTTGAGTGAATCATTTGTCGGATTCGCTCGTGCATTATCATGATGGACTTTCACACCGGTAGCATGCGCTCGACAAAATTGGGCTCAGACGTTGGCTGGAACATGCTCTGCGTATCTCGTAATAGACGGACCCACAAACACACAATAACACCGAACAACCCTCAGCCCGTTGTCATAAGGTCTTGATATTAATAATAATATCAGATATCACCATTAACATTCAATAAGACTAGACTATTGAATAGTTTTTGTTTCCAGGTTGAAGATGTCCAGTTAGCACGACTTTTTGGTCTCGCAAATGTCGACTCTTTGATGGAAGAGCTTATCCTGCATGATGAACGGCCAGATCGCGATGTTCGGCAAAGTCTGGCAAGTCCATGTCAGATGAATGAATCCATTACAGTCGAGAGTGCTACGGCAAGCCTAAATGGCATAGCAAATCGGGTGTAGTACCGGACACGCCTTATCGTTGCCAATTTCTTTCTCCCAAGTCCTGCCTTGTTTAGGCAGTAAATTTCATTCTATTCAACATTATGCTAGTTTTAGCTAGTTGCATTTTTCTTTTAACATTTTCATGTTCTATTTGTCTTGCCAGATATGATGTGCATTTGACGGGATATACATCTACTCATTTAGTCTTATTGCCTACGATAATCTTATACACCTCACTAGCCATGCTTAAATGGTCATGGTCACTTTTGTACATTCGCCTAGTCTATGATTACCTCAACAAACGACTTACTTGTCTACTTCACTGTGATTGCGAAGTTATTACAGAGTTTGTAAATTTTTATCCAATAAAATGATTAGCTTCTCTTTCTACACGCACATACAGTGCTGATTAAAGCTATTCGGTGTAAAAAGTGTTTGTGACGGAGGTGTGCAACTAAGACTGCGATTATTCCGTTGAATTTGTCTTATTATGAAATGTGAGTCGAGTAAGCCTATCATGGTAAGATGGGTTTCAGTAGGTGCTGCTCGGAAATGACTTCGATCTGTTTTTCTTACAAATTGCAGCTCTTCAGTTACTTGAGGATTTGGGGCCTTTTCACAGATGTTTCTGTTAAAGGATTTATGCTGCAAGCACGGCTGCATGCCTGTGTACGAAAGCAAATCGATCATGTTTCCTTCGCATATGTATCGATATTCCCTTCATTATAGACAGGTTGTCCCAAAATGTATACGCTGTCTGATCGTTGATATCTCTCTTCCCAAGAATTCTCTTGCCTTCCTTCAGATATTGTTTCAAGAGCTGGCTTCAACTTGGATTACGTTTGAAACGAATCACCGATCTTCCTCTTCACTTCTTAGGATAGTTAGAGTCGCTGAATCTGAATATGAGATTTGCACATATTCATAAATGTTAGTCTTTGAAGGTCCACCCAGAATGGGGTCTATGAGATTTCGATGTCCAACAGTTGCGGGGTCCTGTATAGCTGCCCAACTCGCGCTGTCCTGTCTACGCCGCTGTCTTTTCGTCCCGCCCACTAGCGATTTCGCCTAGCAGGCGCAAAGCTCAAGAAATCGATCGAATCATGCGTCTCTGTCCTGCGATGGGCCCGCAGCCGGCTGAAGAGCGTGCAGGTGTTCCTAGCACCTTCCCTCGCACCAAGTTCGCACCAGCATTCGCACCCAGGAGGGTTCTAGCACCTCCGCGCCTCAAAGGTCAGGCCCGCTCATTGCTCCACCCATTTACTGGTCCTCCCATTGTGAGGTGCAAGCAGCGAGAACATAGGTTCAGATATTAGGGTGATAAGAGAGCAAAGTTTAGAAAAAACGAAGAAAATAGTTATCATTTCTCAAGTGAAACTTCCGCTGTACCATCATTAAAAATGAGCATTAATATTATTGAATTGAAGGAAAGCATCAATTTGAATGACTGAGTGACCAAAAGTGGTTAAGAATCCGACTACCTTCTCAACTTAAAACGACCTATTTTGAAAGGGGTATAGCAAAATTTTGGGCAACCAACCTGAGTCTTTCCCAGCAATTGGGACATTTGAGCACACATACTTTCCTACTTTCGCCTGAAATCATATATTTATGTGAGTTTCTCACTTTAAGTTTAGTGATCAATAAGAATAAAATAATCAAAAAATTTTTTTAAGTAGGAAGTCCTACAATCGATGTACTAGGATACCAAACTTCGGTAGCATGTGTTATTGAAGAATTGGCTAATTACAAACAAGACACTATATTTGCAAGATATCTTCCACTTCGCTATATTCTTACAGTTAGTTGAATTTTAGAACTTGCAAATTGACTAACTTCCTCATCATATATTGTGACTGGAATATTTTAAGTTCTTAACTTACATTGGTACTACATGCTTCAAAAATCATTCAAGCGCTAGCACTTGCTTTTTAGGGAGACGTCATTTCATCAGAAAACATGAGTAGAACATATTAGGTCGGTGCAAAAGTTTTATCCATCGGCAAAGACGCTAGAATAAACATGAACAAACGCTCCAAAACGTATCCGATGCAGAATTTCTTTCTCTTTCCAGCTGCTAAACTTCCATTGTGTTTCGTTGCAAGAGTGACGAGATATTTGCTGGAAATTACAACAACTCGTTTTTACCATGTCCAAATTTCGCTGATTTTCAAAGTTTTTGTATGAGACTTTCGGAGGAGCCCTAATAACCAGGATATAGGGCAAACATTTTGCTAACAGAATTAAATTTTTTCCTTGTTCCAGCTGCTTTTTCAGATTTTTGCTGAATAGTTTTCTAAAAGTCTTGTGTTTTGGAAAAATCGCATAACCTGTTATTGACCAAACACTGCAAAACCTACAGAAAACTGAGGCTGCAACACTCGATTATTACTACCGACACCATTACGAAGTAGATGAGCGATTTTCGCTTCGAGTTATGAAGATTTGGAAACAAAGGCTACGACAGTGCGTACTCGTAAAATAGAGAAATACTGCAACTTTTCCTGCAAATTTCTCGTGTCTCGCCAAGAAAAAATAGCTGTTGAAGAGAGGAGAAAAAGTTGCATCGAATGGTACTTGAAGTGTTTACCATTTCATGTTCTACGAGGTCAGAATGGGATGAATGTAAAATTTGGTCACTTCAAAAAATAAATCGTAGAAATTCTGGAAGACAAGCCGTAGGGCTACAAAAAATTGATTCTGTTAGCAAAAGGTTTGCTCTATCTGCTGGTTATTAGGACTCCCCCGAAAGTCTAGTACAAAAACTTTGAAAGTTAGTGAAAGTTGGACATGGTGAAAACGAATGGTTGCGATTTCCAGCAATTATCTCAGCACTCTCTCAACGAGACACAATGCGAGTTTGGCAGCTAAAAAGATGAAGAAATTCTGCATCGGATACATTTTGGAGCGTTTGTTTATGTTTATTCTAGCGTCTTTGCCGATGGATTGAAAAAACTGACAAAACTTTTGCACCGACCTAATAATTCGAAATGCTGGAAATTCAGCTGCAGTCATCTACGGATTCTAAACTTTATGGGAACTTAGCTTTTTTGTTTCCCTATTTCAGTTCTATTATCCTCAAGTACAATGAACCACTCTTACAGTGCTGTACACAATTCAAAATGAGGACACTTAGAGTCAGTAGTGATGGGCGGGGCCGCCCTTTGCCCTCGAGAAGGTGTGATGTCCTTCAAGGGATTTCTGGAGGTGCCAAGTACCCCTGCGAGGAAAAGCGGCCGGGCTTTGGGAACTCCTGCCACGCCGCCCTGCTGGCTTACTTCTGGCAAGAAATGCTCGTCTATTGCGAATTCTGAAGGGCATCCGAAACTCAATAATTTGAGACTTCCGTTCAACTTTAGGCCTGGATTCGGACTCAGCGCGCAGGAGGACAAAAACTCAAAATCGAGTATTTGGTTGGACGGTGCTTTTATAGTCTGCCTGAAACAGGATCAGGCCGAACCATCGGCTGAAATTGCGCGCTCGCAGCGCTAGGGGTTTGCGCTGCACTCCCGCGCTGTCGCAGAGAGCGAAGAGATTGAGGAGAGAGCAGACTAGCCAGCCGAAGAAGTGGCGACTCTCGCGACGCGGACTCCCACCATGCCAATTTTGGCCTCATTAGGATTGGGGCAGACTGTAAGTTGTGCCAAGTATAAAATGACATCTTTTTTCCCGCCGCTTTAGACCTGTGATAACACCGTTCAAAAAGCTTTAGAGACTTGTGAAAAGTTGAATAGTGGAATTAGCATGCGTGAAAACACCGGCCGGTACAAAACTTTCCATAGCTTTTTGATTTTGGTTTTGAAATACATTCAAATCGGACTGGCGGAAAAAGCTGGAAGTTTTTACCATAACCCTACAGTGATGAACAGTGGTTGGTGACTCCTCCTCCATGGTAATTCCAAGCCAACAGCTCTACAAAATGGTGCCTGAGTGTAGGCAGAAGAGTTTGTGGGAAAAGAAAAATCAGCGATCAAGCAGTGTATACATACTTTTGGGACATGCTATATATCCTACACGTTTAGGTGGAATTTCCGCCTAGTTTTCATAAGGAAAAGTTCTGACTGCAACAGTCATTTTCCTTCATCAGATTTATTGTAGTAATCTGGGGTGAAAAAGCATAAGGTTCAACAACACACATCTTTCTCTCAAAGAGTTCAATCTTGGTACAATTTACGCCTGCAGCATGCGAAAGCAAAGCGATTGAGCTTGCTCTACCTTTATGAAAAACCTGTTGGATTGTCTTCCATGTTGCATGAAAGTTCTCGCCGTAGAATTTGCTAAATATTAACCCAAGGACTGACTTGCTACTAGTACGTATTATCGATCCATGACCATCATTCGCCAGCGTTGCGAAACAATACAAGAGATTTGAATTAAATTTGCTAAGATCAACGTGGTGAAACACTCCGCAGTTGGGAGTATGGTCCGCGTGCTTTCTCTGCAATGTTGCAGTAAATGCATGGCAAACTTCCTAGCACTTCAATTTATCTGTGAAATTGTTAGGTATGTATTAGTTGGACTGAAAGCTGTAGAGGATGGGCTGTTTGCATCATACCGAGCACAGGATTTGGTTACTCCTTACTGAATGTGACAAAACTTCGTTACACTTTTTATTTTTTAAGCGTAAACTGTGCGATGTTTGTTTGTTTTAATTAACATCTACCACCATTTACGAATCATCCTCTCTGCCTTTTCAGCTTCTTGACGATTTGCTCGTGATCGCGGTCCCCACAAGTCTGGATTTCTTTTAAATAGTGGGTGGATGCTGTTACCTTGGCTGCTTTGGTAGTACATCTATAAAATTTGGGAGTACCGCTTCAACGTCAATATTTACACTTACTAAGTAAACAAGCATTATAGGGACAGGCGATAGAATTGCAGCGATAAGCAGCCAGTTGTAAACATCCAGTGTTTCGAGGTTTCCTTCAAATGACTCTTCATAAATAAGTGCAATCATACTGAACTGAAATCGTTGTTTTGTTCCATTAATTTTCATTATCTGAAAATTTCTGATGAGTTCATGCAAACTCACAAGGATTGCCACTGGTATCACCGCTGACCACAGCACCAGTGCCATTGAATTCAGGATTAGCTTGAATTTTTTGGCTTCTGCTCTCTAAATCATGCACTTTATAATTTCGAGGTATGTTCGAGGTGCTCAAAATGCTACCGAATAGCCGTAGACCATCAAAGAAGTGTTGGAGTAAAAAACACGGAATCCATAGAAAAATCCAATTACAATCACTTCAAGTATCACCACGGCGGCGCTTGCTATTGGTATGACTGAGAAGCTAATACTAGCAGCACGCATGTACCCATCCTAAATTTGGATATGTGTGAAGGATATTTGTTGTACATAGTGTAACTAATAGATGGTCCTACGAAATTGCCATATGAGAGCGGTATACCCTAGATGTATGAAATTTGCATGAAAACTTTGAACATTTACATCACCTTTGGCTTAACGGTTTGTGTCGAAATACATTACGCGTTCTACTTGAAAATTTAAAAATCTGAAAAAGACCTTGAAAAGACATCATAGTGATAATAGCGCTTCAAGCTTAAATTGGATTAAAGGTAATTTGAGCAGAAAGCGTTATGCTAATCTGCCAAGACTACATTTAACAAGGGAAGGATACTTGGTCAAGTGGCATCTCCACATAAAATGTATACTGCCTCGTAGGGCAAGAAACGCTAATTCCAAATGTGCTTTCGGTATTTGCAAAGCGCTTCTGTAAGGGAAGCTATAAGAATTTTTTGAAGTAAAAATCTCGACGCTTAGTTACAATAAGATCATTCAGAACTGGTTCTGTGAGTTCAAATGGGGCCATGATTACCGCCAGGACTTATGCACTCATACCTTCAAAGTAATAAACTTATGTTAGCTCTCTTTTCAAGCGCAGGAAAGGCCTCAACACTTATTTCTTACTTCGGTCAAACTCTTGAACTTTGCCTCAAAAATTCCCCCAACTCCTCTGCCAAAGGCGCTCTGCAGATACTGCAAGCAGATTTGGAATCAGGGTTCCATCATGACTTATAATAAAGTGCTTAGCTTCTGTTTGCCTTGTGTGTGTATATCTGTCTGTCGCGAAATTCAGCGATTGCAGCTAACCTTTCAAGTTAAAATCTTGCACAGTGTACCTGGCAGCGTCTAGGCTCACCCTGCACAGCGGGGAATGGATCCGACGGATGGGTCCTTTCAAAATGGCACCAGGAGCGGGTTCACTAGGCTTTTAGCACGCAAAACTGGTCCGCCGTTTCGACTTTCTGCAACGTCGCGTATTTGTCTGACAAATAAATTTGCGATCCATAAATATTTTTCCAAAAAATGCTCCAAAGATCTGCTTTCCTGTTAAAGCAGCGCCAAAGAAGAAAGATTGCGTAAATAGCCGATTAGTGAAGGTTTCACCGGATAAATCGAAAAAATTTTTGCATAGAGGTGCAGTCCAGGGGGTTTGTTATCCTTGTGGAAATAATGGTGTTGAAATAAATCCACTAATTCATTCAAATTCGCATTTGTTCTTTCGCGGAAAAGTTCTTCTCTCTCACCACCAATCTTACTTGGAAAATTTTTGAGACTGAGTTATTTACAATTCATTTGTGATGTTCAGCGTTGCGCAGTGAGTTTCAAAGTCATTATTATGCAATCACAAAGAAGTTATACGGATAGTAGAGTCAGTACGAACCTCTGCGAAGCAGAGGTTTCCACTGACTCTACTATCCGCACTGGTGCTCTAATACAGTACACATTTCATGTATCAAACTCCACTTCTATCAGTTATCCTTCCCTTGTAATTGTTATGTCTAATGAATCAGAAGTTTTGTGTTGAAAACGTGATTAGCTAGAGTAGTAGTGATTTGGTCAAAACCACCACCTGACTAAATTCTCATCACACGAGGTGAGCAGGAGCTTTACTAACTTCTCAATGAAACTACAAGGTAACCAATCCGAAACAATGGAGGTGAATATGATTCACTCGATTGTAGATTCAGCAAAGCGATATCACTGAAGGGGAGAACCTCCAATCAACCTCACGCTTAACCGCCTTCACTGCACTTTGAGGCCTTGCCACATCTCACTCGATTTCAGTCGCCACGCGACCTGGCAATTTGCCAGATGTCTTCAAATCCAGACTGGCAGACCATTTGCACATTCTCAACTTTCAAGGATTGATGGAATGAACAATCATTTGCACTCAGAATGAGCACACGATGAGTTATGGACTATTGAATTGTTGCCAAAAAGGGTCGCGAGTGAGATAGCGTGAGGTATGGCCAAAGCCTAACAACTTTGCAGCTCTTTTTTCAGCCTTGCATCTTCCCATAAACATAGTTATTTCTGTGGTCAGAATAACGCAACCATAACAGCATTGTTTCAAATAAAGAAAGTGGTCAGGTGTACTTCCGTTCAACATTAATGTGGTGGTTTCACGTCTACGTCTCGAAAAAAAGAGTGTTATTATCACTACTTTGTGTGATAAAGCTGTTAACCTGGTGGTAATATGGTTTGTTTCATAATGAAACAATTATGAAACAACGGTAACTAGCAGTTTACTTGCCTGTTTCACATTGTATGACCGGATAAACTGAGAGGCCGTCAGAACATGATTAACCACTTTCTATGATCAAATCATCTTATCATGTAATGGTTTCGAGCAGGTTACTACAACTCCCAAAGTTTGGCGTTGTTTTCGCTGTCTTAACTATCAAATGCAGAAGAGCGGGCTTTTCAAACAGTTCTCTAGTGCAGCAATACACTGCTATCAACATGTCTTGGAGCTTCACATAACCACTCGTCATCTTCGCAAACATGCAATGTAAAAAAATTTTGGCAGAAATACTACGAAATCCGGCAGATAAAAAAGCGCGTTGCCCTGACTGCTCGTAGCTTGTTGAGACGATCCGTCTCTATGATTGAGCTATTGCCCTTGAAGAAAGATGCATTTTCAAGAGCGCCCATTTAAAGCCTCGGACAAAGTTCACGCGATTTGACCGCCGCGATTCAATCACTATAGACAAGTGTTACGAGTTCGTGGCATGTCGATCTTTCTTATATTTCGCTTGTGATAGTTAGTCACGATTAGTCATGTTGGCAAACTATCACAACCGAAATGCGAGAAGATCGGCATGTAATGAACTCGTAACACTTGTCTGTAGCGATTGAATCGCGACGATCAAATCGCGTGAACTCTGTCCGCGGCCTGAAAATTATCCAAATGTGCACTAGGTACATACGACCACAAAACTACTCCATGAGGGTGGTGATCTAAGATCAATCCGGGAGTTCGGTACGCTGCACAATATGAAAATTTGAAGACTGTTATCGACTTGCATATAAGTTATACAAAAAGGTTTAACATCGTTTAGGATATAGCAAAATCACATGTATGAATAGTGATTCGAAAAAGTGAGTATTGAACACCGAGATTCCTAGTTTTCTTGAATTCTCCAGACTTTCCTGCATCAGTTGTTTTCTCCTGCATTTTTTACTCGACTAACTAAGCTTTGATGTGGCGTTCTTGCAGCGTATTCTGCTGAATTACAAAGACGAAGCATCCTTTTTATATCCAAAGTTGCAAAGTTCGACAATCACGTGTGCTGGGTAGACTATACTAGATTACTGCAATTAAACACTCCTTGTGTGTTGACGTTTTTAACTTGCTGCAATGTAGCACAGGTCTCAGCTGTGTAACAGGGAGCAGGGACCGATAGGATAAGTGAACGAGTGGGTTCTAAGCTTATTCCGTAAGCGGGTCGGTGCCTTTCCTAAGTGTTCCGAAAGCATCCAGACGTTTTTATTCTCTCGTTGTGTGCTCCCTTAAAGATCTTGAGTGCGTTGAAGAGACGTCTTCGTGCCTTGCTTTTTTTGTGTGCTTACACATGGCAACGATATCGTTTCACTGGGTTGCTCGCTTTTGCGAAAGATTAGAATCTGTATCTCATAACTTACAGTATACTGGAATATAAGAGATAACAATGTTGTAAATAGTACAACGAGTACCACAAGGATAAACCTTGAGCTTTCGTTATTGAAGTGACCTCCTTCGAGAAATGCATTGATTGTGATTTCATAGCGTACAATCTAAATTATTCCATTGTGGTCGGTTAGAGAGGTAAAGCAAGCAACATGAGATCTTACCTTGCTGGAAAGTACCGTGCAAAGCATGATGATCCCATACCAGAATGTCACAACAGGTTCATAGTCTCCGAAAATGTGATTTGCATTCAGAAGAACGATCGCGATTGTGACTGGATTTTGATAGGCAAGATTTTTGCTTGTCACTAAACGATGTTATCGAGTCATGGGCATTTGAGGCGCCCAATTCAGAATGTACTGCTTCATTTTGAAGTTGCCTACTCCTGAATCATTGTTACAAAAAAAGGGATCAACGATAAGGTAGCTAAGGTGTAAGAGTTTAATACGACAATGTTTGAGTTTTTGATACATAAAGGGAAACTGTAAATCGATAAAATTTTTGCAGAACTTGAGCATGAGAGTTAGGGTACGAACAAATGACATATCATTTCAAAACTTTGTTTGTCTCTATCAAGTGCGGTGACTTTACAAATGGGCTATCTTTACGAGGAATCATACCAAAAAGCGGAAATTGAACCATATATAGCAGTATGATTGTGAAACATGCTTCGGAAATGGAGATCAGGGGTAGTCTAAGAAAGAAGGCGATAAAGAGTGTAACTTATAAGCAGAGTTATTTGGGGGTTAGCATCACAGGCATTACTGTCTCCGCGTGGATATATGCGCACGCTGGCCAACCTGAGAGAAGTAAAGTGAATGATCAGCTTGAAAACAATGCGCATGAGACATTTGCATTTGATTCCTGGCAATCAAAAGCTAAACTCCTGAAGAGCTGAGAACAAGTTTAATATAGGGCATAAATCCTTACCAACAGCTTTCACTTTGCTAGGAGCACCTTTCACCATCTCTAAGACATACGAGTCCATAGCGATGATATGAAATAATGAGTAAAAGAATGGCACGAAAATCATCACCAACGTGATCAGTAGGCAATCGCTTGAAACAGAAGGTGAACTTTGTCCGCAAGCCATAGGCTTCTCAAACTTACACAATCAAGTTGTTGTGAAATCCGTTCTGCGCTCCAAGAAATACCAAGCCACCCTGGCCAAGTTTCAAGCTTCTCATTGTCTGTAAAATAAAGTATGGTTCATTCATTGAAGAGACACCACAAGATGCAGCGCTAGGCGACACGGATTCGACGCCGTTTGTTCCGCAAAAAAGTAACATTTCATAGACTGTCATAGTAGTAAAAGCGTCGGAATCGTGCTGCTATGGCGCACTTGCGCAGTGCCTGTGCTGAGTATTTATTATTTTGTTTGAAAAGTGAGGAAAACGAACGAGGAGTATAGCGCTTAACCATGGTTCAACTCCGTTCACCGCATCCAGGGGTTCCATAGTAGCTGGTAGAGCATAAGGATACTTAGGAGAAAACATCGTGAGTATTCCATGGAGCAAGAACGAGAGCATGCAAAATACCAACAATAGGCTAACACTTATGAACTGCAAAATGTACAGATTTTTACGTGTATCAAGGCAGAGTAAGAGAACTGTCATAGCTTGCTGGCAACTGTGTCCGAGGTTGCCGAGGATGCCAGATTTGCTGAAGTTACTAAGGTTGCCGGCATTGTCGAGGTTGCCGGCGTTGACGGTCGTTGTAGCACCTCACATTTCGCGCGCTCTCTAATCTATATCTGACCCCGGCAACGCCGGAAGCATCGGTAATGGCAACCGCGGCAACCTCGGAAACAGTTGCCGACAACTGTGGCCGTTCAGTGACGAGTGAGTTGTTTCAAAATTCTATTCCCTCTTTTGTTGTCTTGCGACGCTGGTGTTCGTGATAATTTGCTTTCGGTGCGGTATCACTCACTGCAGTGAAAACTCTTTTTTGCTAATGCTTCAATTTTGATGCTCTGCAGTCACAAAATCCCAAGTGCCAAACATGTTCATCCTAATGCAGTCTTCATCAGAGGAAAAATATTTCGGAAAAAATCTTTACAGTATGCATGTGAAATCACTTCCTAACAAACAGCAAATTATTAGGGTGTCTCATAATTCTGACCGTTTTTATACAACGGTCATCTTTTTGCAACATTCCTTCAATTGTTGTGGCTTGAGTAAACATTCGACAGGGCAAAGCACGTTCAACAAAACGGCTATCAAGAGTCTACACAAATCGTATCCCACATGAAGTTTTGAGCTTTAGTCTGACAGCAGTTCAAAACGAACTCTGCCGTTAAAATTCCCATTCGCAAATAAACTTAAAAACTTCCTATTTATCCTAACATAGCTTGACACATTCAATTGTACACTATCCGTTATTATTCCATGGCTAGAAATGAAGGCATAAATGATTGGAGCAAATCGGCAAGCTCCGTTCCTAGACATCCTGAGCGCCTCCCACGCACGTGATCATTTAGCTTATATATACAGAATTACGACGTAATTGTACCCTTTGTAGGTGACCAATTCCCGAGAAATGCTCATGTTTAGTAAAAACGAAAAAAAATTATGAGACACCCTAATATTAGGTCGTTCCGAAAGTAATGTCGCTTTCTTCAAATGAACGCCATATTTTATGGAATAAAGATTTTCAAGAGATCTTTGGAGCATTCGATGCAGCATTTCATTCGCTTTCTAAATGTTGTAATTTCATTGCATAATATTCAATGAGCTCTCGAAAAAATACAAAAATCTGCAACTCATGCTTTTTGCCATGGTCAAGTTCGGCTATTTTATTTTTATACCTATTATCCGAAGAAGCACGAGTGATAGGTAAATAGAGCAAACCCTATGGGACACAATATAATTTTTTTCTTTTCCTTAGCTTGCTCCTTAGAGTTTCTGGAATCAATTTTTCAATGCCATCAAATTCCATATCTGGTCAACTCAAACCTCACAGGACAATAACCGGCAAGCAACTCGATTGTCATTCGATGCAGCTTTCTCTCCTCTTTCTACCAGTTGTTTTTTGTTTCCAATGCGTCGAGTTTTCCGGAATAAAATCACCATAATTCAGGTTTTCAAGGGCGCCCCGGGCTGTACCCGGAATTTTCAAAAGTTGCTAACCTGAAGCGGTGAATGCTCATTTGGTTTGTAAAACTAGTGTCAGACTACAATCCATCTTTGTAAGTTTGAAAATCCGAAGATTTATTGGTGTTTGATGCATTTGTGTCCAAGGCGAGCCTGCTAAAATTTGGTGGTTCCATCAAAAAATCGATACAAAACTTATGACGAGCTCTGGAAAGTAGAAAAAATTGCACTGCTTCCTGTAGGGTTTGCTCTATCCATCCATTCCATTCATTTTTACAACAAGCCTCCTTCCGAAAATTGTTGTAAAAAATTTAGAAAAATTGTGAAACTTGACCTTCTTAAAAAGCATGTGTCGCAGATTTTGAAAATTTTTCGAGAGATTATTAGATCTTGTGCAGCGATTATATAACCATTAAAAAGAGAATGAAATGCTGCATCAAATGCTTCCAAAATCTCTTACACATCCTTGTTCCACGAGATGTGGCGTACGTTTAAAAAAAGCGACATTACTTTCGGAACGACCCAATAGAATGTCGCTAGGTGCCATTCAGACTTCACGAATTTATTATACGTTTACGTAAGAATGGTTGCAGTCATCGGGCTTGCCCATTCAGATCTTAATGCAAGATTTCTAGACAGGGTCGAAAAAAGTTTTTTCTTGACTCCCAAACACTTTGAATGCTGTTTGCAAAAAATTTGCTTGACTACAAATGACCATCAAAAATTCTCTTTATAGAAAAATTCCACCTCATAGCTCATGTAGAACAACGCAAAAAGGTAGAACTTTGAAACTACCCGTACTCTTGCTTATTTACCGTTGCAACTGTTCGTCTTGTTCTTGACAAAATGAATATGCAGATAAGGACGAATATCATTGCGTACATGACAGCTTTCGGGGACATGTATGTATAATTTTTGAAGTCCGTGAAGTCATGCACTTCAGAATTGCTGAAATTTGTTTGAATGAAACGGCTTCTAATACGAAAGGGAGCATAATTATGCTATTTTGAGATTTCTGAGCTGTCTGTTTTACAACGAATACGGTAGTTAATGTGAGTTGCCAATCGTTGGACCCCTCTTTGCTTTGCCGCTCCAGCCACATACACCGCACAGGGCTCGGCACGAGTTCGTTTCTAGGCTTTTTCAAAACGAAAACGCCCTGACATTCGAAAATTTTGCGAAGTCCCCTTTGACTTTTGCTCTCCCCCCACCCTCTCCGATTGTTGGTGGATCCTTGCATACTCACTTAGTTCTTGACAACCATTCACCTGCTGCGAGCTGAAATCTCGCGATATCAAATCAAACTCTCAAAAAAACCACAAAATCCACAATATTTTGCTTTATGAAGCCCTACATGGTCACAGAACGATCAAATTAGATCACGACCTGAAGGAAGAAGAAGAAGAAAGCAGGGTGGCGGAAATCATCAAAATATTGAAAAAAAGCTAGAACTGAAAATGAAAATTCAAAAGGAAAGGATGCAGAAAAGTTGGCGCTGGAGCGTGCGCTGCAAACAAGCAATCTGTTTATTTTAGCCTTGTTTTCAAATCGCGCGCACTTTTCGTCATACACGATAGAGCATGTCAATCGTGTGATAACATGTCCGAAAAGCTTGTGTTCGACTAAATGGCGCTTGTATTTTGTGCTCGGCCGCGACTCCTCAAAGACAAAATCCTCTTTGCTTTTTGCTCCAAAAACGGTTCGACTAAATGGCGCTTATTCTTTGTGCTCGGCCCCGACTCGTCAAAAACAAAATCCTCTTTGCTTTTTGCTCCAAAAACAAAGTCCAGCCTGCTTCCAGACGATCTGTGCCGGGCCCCGACACCGCAGGCTCCAATTTAGCGCTTGTTCACCTTTCGTTTCTAACGATTTCCTTGTACTCTATGTTCGTAATGCAGCCGTATGGTTATGCTCCTGCCCTTTAATTTTTTTAGAAAGAACGCTCAAGCCTGCACCAACTTCTTGTTTTGGCCAAGTATTGTTATCGTCGATTCACTGACCGCACAGAGTGGACATTACTGCGAAGCAGTTGACTATGGACTCGAGCTGTAAGACTATAAAGTCGAATCAAGACCAATACTGGAACTGGAAAAAACCAAGCGGAGAGCGAGTTGCTGCCGTCCTATGCCTTGGCGCTAGCGGTGGATTTGTGCAGTGCCGCTTTGCGAAAGCCAGTGCTGCTTGACACGTGAATTCTTTCTTGATTCAACTATTTTCAATAATTTTGCACAACCCACCGAAATCCATGGGTTTAATTCTAAAAATAGAAAGTTTGCGCTTTAGGATTTTTGCTTGACCCCGAATTCTCGTTGGTTAGAATCAAAGAAAAGCCCAAAATTGGTACCTCGGAACTTCGTGACTTTGTGTCTAATCTTAAAGAAATACTAGACCAACGGTAACTAGCTCCAAACTGAAAATTTTTTCGACAAAGTACTAGTCCGTGCACGCTTGTAGCAATAATCCCGCGTAAAATCAAAAACAAAAATCTGTGAAAAATTCTGCACATAAGTGCGATAATGTGAGAATTTTTTCACCCCCTCTTTACCCTTGAGCCGGGACCAAGGTGACCCCTTCACCAAAAGCCGAGAAAAAATCAACAGTGGGGTAAGGTTAAGCAAAGGAGATATTTGTACGTGAATTGTTTACTTACAGGAATGGAGGAGTCTGTTGAAAAAAGTGCTTGTGACGGGTGTGGGTAGTGATTTCTGGACATTTTGGAGTTTTTAACATAAAAAATTCATAACTTTTGTAGATGAACATATTTTACGGCAAGATGGTCACCGTTGGAACCGTATCGTCTCCGCTTTTATAATAGAAAGCATAGAGCATATCTGAATCCGTTCAAGAAAGTGCGGTGAAGGGTGTGCCTAGTGATTTAATTTTCGAGTTTTTAACGTGAAAAAAATTAATAGATTTTGTAGATGAACATATTGTACGCCGCGATGGTCACCATTAAAACCGTCTCGTCCTCCGCTTTCAGAAAATATATAATTTGCCTGGGGTCCATCAAAAAATGCCGGATGAAGGGTGGGTGAGACTTTTACAATGGGGGTGCTCAAGTAGACGTCTTTTTACAATGGTAAAAAAGCCTGTACTTGAGCCATTATAAAAGTCTCACCCACTTTTCACTTCTGAAAGCGGAGAACGATACGGTTCCAACGGTGACCATCTCGCCGTAAAATATGTTCATTTACAAGAGTTATGAATTTTTTTAATGTTAAAAACTCGAAAATCTCCAGAAATCACTAGGACACTCTTCACCCAGGCGCTTTTTTAACGGACTCTAGGCAATGTATATATTTTCTGAAAGCGGAGAACGAAACGGTTTCAAAGATGACCATCGCGGCGTATAAGATGCTCATTTCCAGAAGTTACGGATTTTTCTATCCTAAAAACTCGTAAATATCCAGGAATCACTACCCCACTCTTCACCAGGCACCTTTTCAACAGACTCCAGGCAAACTATAAATTCTCTAAAAGCGGAAGACAAGGTGGTTTCAAAAACACTTCCCTTGCTGACGTTGCTGTTCATCTACAGAAATTACGAATTTCTTCTTCTAAAAAATACGTAAATGTTCAAAAATTGTCTGACTCTTTCCGAAGCAAATGTTCTCGCATGCACATCTTCTATGGTAAATCCAAAAACAGGCAGGGTGATGTAAAAAAGGAAAAGGAAATTAAAAGAATACAAGGTGCTGGTCAGAGACATAATTGTGTGCTAATCCAGCAGCACATCGGTTCATATTTCAAAAAAAATAACCAGTGATGGTAAGGAATAGATTATGAACTTTGACTAGGAAAAATGCTGAGAAAACACCACGGCTCCCCCATCCCTGGTCGACATCTTATAATTTCTCTATCGATTGAAACACCCTTCACCCTGAGGGGCTGCGACCACTGTGACCCCCCTCACCCTGAAGGTGTCATTCTCACTTTATCGCACCTGTGCTTCTGCAGGAATTTCCTCCCCTCACTAGGTTTCTCTGCAAAAACAATGAAGAAGTCGACGCTATTGATCGGCCGTCACTAAATAAAGTGCGGTTCATAATTATACGAACACCCAAAATTTTGTAAGTTTTTGGACTTTTTGGGAGAAACTCAAAAAGCCGTTGGTACCACGTGATAGAACACAACCGAAAACGGTATATGATCCATAAGAGTGGAAATCGATGTCGACTGTAGGAGTGTTTTTGCGGCTAATGAGAATTTTTAGCGGTTCATAATTATACGAACACCTCAAACAAAGGTCCATTTTTCATTCAAGATTGCGATCATTTGAGTCCAAATTTTTTGTAGAGTTACAGTAACAAAGTCTGACATATCTGCTAAACACTGAACCCAGTGCAGTTCAAAACGAGGACCGTTACTTTTCTCAGAAGGCTCCAAATGCTTTTGGAATGATTGGGCTCCAGAAACATCCATTCATCTGTAAGTTGATTATGTTTACGCGCTCTAATTAGCTTCTACCAAAGATATGAGATAAAATAAGCACTTTCGATAGGTATTTTGTTTGACGCTTGGAAAATCTTTGCGTTCTCGTGCCGTTTTTCAAACAAGTTCCAACTTTAGCACAGAGTTAGCACGATTTCGAGCCTCAAAACTCAGCTTCTCTCTTGCGCAAAAATTTGATATGAAGCAGCTGCATTGCTTGCATGATGATATTTCTGCACCAAAATTTTTGGGTTTTTTCTAGTGATCTTGCGGCTGTGGAGCTACAAATTATTAGGTTGATGCATAATTCCTGCACCAAAATAGGTACATACCGCAATAACTCGGAATAATCCTATATCCCAAGTAGAATTCGATATATCATTAGATAGCGCAAACCTAGCTCTACAAGACAGTGTCTAAAGTTTTGCAGCAGCTTTGATTTAAGCGAAGATTGAAGCCAAAAACGAAAAATATCCACACGCCCCAAAAAATCAAGAAAAAAATGAAAGTCCGTTCAGAAAAATCCTTCAAAATTTCTGACTTGCTCATGCATTCTCATTTCGTATAATACATCTGTCTATGTAGTTGCTGTATTTTTCTCTTAGCTAGAAATGGAGAAAACGAACTTTTTCATGTTTTTTCCAAAACAATGCTGAGATGTTCTAGCACTGACAGTTGCATACTATAGGACCTAAGAAGCGTGAGTGTGAATTTTCAGCTTTTTACAGCAGCTGGTTTACGAGAAAAATCAAAATTTTGGCAACTAGGCAAGAAAAATTTAGGATGAAGAGAGCTAGAGTCGTCATTTCTCGTAAACTAGCTGTTCTAGAAGGCTGAAAATGCAAAGTTTCACTGCTAATGGCATGTACTATACAACTGTTAGTGCTAGAACGTCTCAGCACTAATTTGGCAAAAACATGAAAAACTTCGTTTTCTCATCATCTAGCTGAGAAAAAAATACAGGACCGCATAGGTAGATGTCTTACGTGGAATGTCTACGCGTGAGCAAGAAAGAAATTTTGTAGGAGCTTTTTGAACGAAGTTACAATTTTGTTTTGATTGATCTTAAGGTTTTCGGACACATGGTTTTTTTTTCAGTTTTCGGTTTAAAACTTCGCGTGGATCAAAGCTGGTGTAGATATTCGAGCACTATCTTGTAGAGTTAGGTTTTTGCGCTATCTAATGATATATCGAATCCTATTTGGGATATAGGATTATTCCGAGTTATCGCGGTCTGTACCTATTTTGGTGCAGAAATTATGCATCAACCTAATAAATAAAGGTGTGGTTGCAATAGTAAAAACAGTCTTTCTGCTGAAATAAATTTTGCGTGACCAAAACAAACGCTCAACGCTGCTGATTTTTTCCAGCCAAATATAAAGTTTTGTAAACTTCTACATAGTGTATGCTTACTTCATTGTACGGCTTCAGAAGCTGAGTTTTGAGGCTCAAAATAGTGTTAACTCTGTGGTAAGGTTGGAATTTGGTTGAAAAACGGCACGAAAACGCAAAGATTTTACAGTCGAGTAGATTTACTGCTTAATATAGTGTCCCTGCGGACGCGACAACGGTTATGCGTCGATAATTCGTTGCGAGTGTCTGAACGATATTTTCTGGTGTTTTCTTCCTTATTCTTTGCATTTTAGGTGACTTTTTGCTGATGAAGGAGAAAAGGTAAGCTGAAGAGTAATTTCTGTTTTCTTAGTAGTTGCATAATCACTTATTCTCAGGTAATCTATGTGGAAGCCACGTCGCAGTTTCGTGTGTATTTCTTGTCTCTTCATGCCTCAAGGGCTTGAAGTGACGGAAAATACACAAAAAACTGACGGGACGTGGCTTCCACGTAGATTACCTGAGAATAAGTGATAGTCCAACTACTAAGAAAATAGAAATTACTATTCAGCTTACCGTTTCTCCTTCATCAGCAAGAAGTCACCTAAAATGCAAAGAGTAAGGAAGAAAACACCAGAAAACATCGTTCGGAGACTCGCAACGGCAATTATTGACGCACAACCGTTGTCGCGTCTGCAGGGACACTATATTAAGCAGGAAATCTACTCGACTGTACAAGCGTCAAACAAATTACCTACCGCAAGAGCTTATTTCATTCCAAAGTTTTGGTAGAAGCTAATTAGAGCGGGTAAACCACAGAAGAACGGATGTGCTTGGAGCGCAATCACTCCAAAAGCATTTAGCCCCTTTTGAAAAAAGTAACGGTCCTCTTCTTGAACTGCATTGGGTTTAGTGTATAGCAGATATGTTAGACTTTGTTACTGTAACTCTACAAAAAATTTGGACTCGAATGATCGCAATCTTGAATGAAAAATGGACCCTTGTTTGAGGTGTTCGTATAATTATGAACCGCTAAAAATTCGCATTAGCCGCAAAAACACTCTTACAGACGACATCGATTTCCACTCTTATGGATCATATACCGTTTTCGGTTGTGTTCTATCGCGTGGTACCAACGGCTTTTTAAGTTTCTCCCAAAAAGTCCAAAAACTTACAAAATTTTGGGTGTTCGTATAATTATGAACCGCACTTTAGGAGAAGCAAAAAAGAAGTGCAGTTGTTGTTGTTTCTGGATTCAACTACGTGACTTGCTACACTTTCCCTTACGCTGACAAAACTTCCGAATTCTGAAAACCTTGTTTCAAACGGATAATTTCTGGTAATGGCGACTGCCGGAAACGCACGATTTTTGACATATATTCCGAGAACAAAGTTTACATCTATTAGGTTGTCCCATAAGTCTTTTCATTTTTGAGTTTTCGCTGTAATAATTCATACACTTCTTATATTGAATAGACATCAGGATACCGTTCGAAAGAACAAAGCAAGCTATATAAAATGACTTTCATTCTTTTGCACCGCTTCGATCCACTTTCCAGTATGAAACCAAAATCTGAAGAGTTTCGGATGCCCAGAAAGAATTTTTTTTAATCTTCGTTCAGAGAAGTCCTACAGATATCTCCCTCGCTCACGCATATACACTCCACATCAGACAGTCATAAGTGCTGTTGCTGTATTTTTTTTATTAGCTAGAAATCAAGAAGCGAAAACTTCCATGTTTTCACCAAAGTGATGCTGTGTTGTTCTTGCATTAACACTTGTGTACTATGAGCCTTTAGAAGTGCATCCGTGAATTTTTAGCCCTCTATAAGTTTTGGTTTCCGAGAAGTGATGAGTTAAGCATGAAAAACTCGAATGAGGAAAGCTAAATTCGATTTATTTGAATCTAAATTTATTTCTTGGAACTACAGCTTGTAGAGAGCTGAAAATTCGCGTATGCACTTTTAAGGGCTCATAGTATACAATTATTAATACAAGAAAAACACAGCAGTACTTGGTGAAAAATGGAAATTTCCGGTTTCCTAATTTGTAACTAATGAAAAACATACAGCAACAGCACTTACGAGTGTCTGATGGGAGTGTATATGCGTGAGCAATTAGATTTGTAGAACTTTCCTGAAGGAACATATAATCAAATAAATATAGATATAAAATAGAAAATTTTCTAAATTTTCTGGGCATCCGAAACTCTTTAGATTTTGGTTTCATAATGGAAGTGAATCAAAGCTGGTGCAAAAGAATGAACGCCATTTTATAAAACTTGCTTTGTTCTATCGAATGGTATCCTGATGTTTATATAGAACCAGTGCGTCACCTCTGCTTCGCAGAGGTTCGCACTGGCTCTACTATCTATGTGCCTTACTCATTCTCGTAAAATCGTGGCACTGGAACTCACCGCGCTATGCCGACTACCACGAATAAAATGTAAACAACCACTCATTTAGAAAGTCTTTTCACGTGAGATCGGTGATTTCGAGTGGATGAAACTTTTCGCAGGAAGACAAACGCAAATTTGAATAGGTTTTTGGATTTGTCATGGCTTGGTAGTCGCCATAAAGGTAATGATAACCGTGAGCTACATCTCTGTGCGAAAATCTTCTCAAACGCTTGGCTAGAACCTTGGCAAGTTGACCATTTACACAACCAATTCATTTTGGCGCCGTTTTCGTTATGTAGTAAACTTTCGACCACTTTTCTGGCTAAACTCCATCGCTTGCACATCTGCTTACCAGACTCATCCACGACTCTGCAAAGAGTGGTGATACTGAACGAATTTTGCGGTACAGAAGCCAGGTGGACCCGTTTGGCGCGCAGTGTTTAACGGATCCACTCGACGGATTTGCTCGCGCTTTTGTATATTGGACTTTCATGCTGCTAGCATGCGCCGTGCAAAATTTGGGCTCAGGAGGTTGGCTGGCACATGTTCTACGAATTTCGTAACGGACAGACACACAGACACACAAAAAGACGTAAACAACCCTTAGCCCGTTATTATAAGTCATGATAAGAAGTATATGAATTATTACAGCGAAAACTCAAAAATGAAAAGAGTCATGGGACAATCTAATAAGATGTGGTCACACTGTTCTAGATAACACTTGCTGGAACCTTTGATTTCAAGCGGTGTATTGAAGATCCATAGTCGATGCAGAGTTTTGTAGTCATCACGACCATCCTTCAAAACCGCATGAAAAAGTTTCATCCGACAATATGGTCTTGTTGATTGGCTACAATGACTACATCCTCGATAATCTACGTCGATCTACATCATGCTGCTGCCCATCAGCTGAACAAAAGGGACTACAAGCATGAAACCTGCTCAAAAGACATATGTTCTAACTTAATGGGTATTTTTGTTGAACGTGTACCTCGTGAATAGTGTTAGCAAAATAAATCACACATCGGTTGAAAAACCATAAGTCACACAGAATGTCATGCAACGGCCCTGGCCGATGTGCGTGCGACTACAGAGTGTAAATTTATGGCAGTGATAACAGGTAGTTATTTCAATTTCGAATCAGGTCTTTGGTTGAAATAAATAATGTTCAAATACGCTACTAAATCTAATGCACAGAGCTCAACTCAGCGTTACAGCCTAACAATGCATTTGAAAACTTGTGGGTTACGTCTTGAAATATATATCGACGTTTGACGTTTGTTACAAACCAAAAAACCGTAAGTGAACACCCGATAACATGAAATCGCACGTATATCTGTCGATAACGTAGTCAGCAGACAAGTGAGTTGTACTCCGAGTATTACTTCCGCGCTTTTGGACTCCTCCTTTTCACATTTTCCCTCCCTATCACATATGTGTATGCAGTTTTCATGAACCTCCATCTCGGATTTTAATGGTCTGAGCTCCCACTGTTTGTATCAGTTTCAAGAATACTTACGCCCAATTTACTACCGCGGTCGTCTTGAATTTTTCGAATTCGTCTCCTGATATTGTAGTTCTGAGACCATCATGAATAGCAATCAATGGTGAACGAACGCATGTATCTCCCAACAATCTTACAAAAGTAAGCTATGTAATTTGTGCGTACAATGTAACTTGTACTTACATTGGAACAAACTGCTTGGCACCGTAATAAGTATATTCAGAAGGATACTGCGGGATTTCTGGAATTTCATCTAATTTCGAACAGTCTCTTGACCACACATGACAGTCTGAAGGGGTAGTTGGAAATGACTTCAACTATATTTGTAAGAATAATTACATGGCTTGCTCCAAGGTGATAAGCAATGATGCCAAGGCATTTGACTGTTTAGAATAACTACTGCCTCATGTATCACACCTATACCATTCATAAAGAGACCATAGTCCATAGCTGCCGTAAAGAAGTTAATGATCAAAGAGCTGACACCAACTCCTGACAAATGGACCATAAGTGGTTATTCAATTCTTCAAATGATATCATTAATATTACCGACAAATGCGGGAGTCATTCGATCGAAGACCAAGTAAACTCCAGTAGAAGTGTACTGTCCAAGGGCCATCTCTAAGTAGCACATGGGAAATCCAACCACAAGCATACAGAATCCATAGGTAAATGTCCAGGTAACTGAATTATTTGCTGCGTTTATGATTGACTGACGCTCCAACATCAAAACTATGCTTATGATAATTAGGAAGAAGGGATCAAGGTTCCGAACGTGGGATCTAATTTGACATTACGCAGTCGAAAAAACTGCATAGCAGTAACAATAGAAACGGTTTTCTTCTAAAACTATTTTTTGATTGACTAGAAAGTTGAAAACGCGTAGCGACTTATCAGGACACGAATCGCAGAGTTTCTTTTTTGTTTAAAATGATTAAAACATGCGGATGAGCAAAGTTTCGCACCGCACACGTTGCCTGTAGAGGCTCGAAATTTAGCTGCCGAGTTGACCAAAGTAAATGAAACATTGCTTGCAGAAGCATTTAGCCAAGAACTTTTCGTCAAGACTCCTGATTTGAACGAACAGTGGAGTATACACTGCATTATTTTCTGTTTATGAATGCAGAAAATCTGTGTGTGACAGTAAATGCATGTCACTTATAGGCAGTATTTTGCGGACCATTTCAGCTGATGCGCACATATGTTTTCGACCTAGCGGATGTTTTGAGTTCTCTTTTGCGGAAATTTTCAGCTTCATTTATCTATTAACTGGCTGCAATGAAAATGAATTCTTGAACTAACATCTTACTTTCACAAATTTCTGTATACAATAGTAGTGGAGCTCATTATGTGATTCAGGATCCATCACATAGTAGAAACGGCTTACGGTCTGCGCGAAATTCCCTCGAAGGGTTACCGCTCCACAACATTCACCAATTTCAGTTGAGCTACCTTCGCCACTTCTAGCGCAATATAACTTATGGCATCGAGTCGAATATGTGCTCCCCTCTCCCCCAGTCCCCGGCCGTGCCATAGACCAGATATTTCTTGTGAGCCACAGAATTTGAACTTGCTTGCACGGCAAAGCGGCAGCAGTGCGCAGCGTGAATTCTGACGTGTGGGCTCATTTAGCACCTGAGCTTATGGTTTACTAGCTGGTCTTCCCGCTCTAGTCCAGGTCGCGGCTTCAGCTGATCCTTGTTCCCCCTCTCCTCCCCCCCCCCCCGCCCGCCCTTCCCACTTAACCATTATGCTGCGCTGCAAGGGGTTTCTGTATCAAAGTAACTCACCTACTGTAGGCTCGCCTTGAATAACGCTTTCTTCCTACCGCGAAAATGGAATGGACTCTACTGTTATAGTTTACATGAAATCGTGGAAATGACTTGTTAGCCGATGTTGAAAACTTATTCTTATGTCAAAAATCAATAATTCAATGAAATGGCACGGCGAACCGCTGCAAAAAGAAGCGCTAAGTCACCTCCACCTCCAGGGGCGAGTACATATGTGTGCAAAGTTCCAGCTCAATCAGTTTATGGTGCGCGTTCCTATAACGAACGAACAGCCAGGCGAACAGACAAAGTTTGAGTTTCATGTATATAGATGAGGGCTCTGCCGAACTGCGACAGCTGATACTTACAATTTTATACACTTCCTTCGCTCATGTCTTTTCTACGCAGATGTAACTTTTTAGCTAGTTTTCTAAAAAATGCTATTTACTTCATCTATGTAGATCTGATTTGGAGAGTTTGGGCGTTGTTGGCCTCAGCAGCTATGATGCCCAGCCCTACACAGATTCGCAGCGCAGTATGGGATTTTGAGAGGTGAGGGCCAAATGGGATAGCCAGTTAAGCAGAGTATGGGGAGGGGGAGGTTTTCCTCTTGCTATATAACGATTTCGGCCCTTGACCGGGCAACTGACAGCGCACACGGATGGAGCCGGGGCGGCAGCTAGTAAATTGTGTAGTTTAGTTTAAATTATGAGACATTTTTCTTAGAGCTGTAAGCCAAGAAAAAGGACAATATGTAGCCAAAACACTGCCGGCCCGGACAACTAGCACAAGCTCAGTAAGAGTTGCATGCTTAATGGCAGATAGTTACGCGAGACTCATCGATCCACTGTGTTCCTCGAGTTTAAAAGCACGTTGTTCTGCCTGAGCATTATCTGCAATTCAAATATGGCAATACTTACTTCCGAAATAATGTGTATAGAAGAAGAAATGGGCTACCACGTCATACGTAATGAGATACGATAATATCATCGCGTATGCAGAGATTTTATCATGCCAAAATGGCTCGCGAAACATTACTCGGCTCAGGTTACCAAGAATTACCTAAAATGAAAAATTAAGAACACTTGCAGGCGTTACATCTACCCGCTTCTGGGTTAAACCTGTATTCAACCTAGATTCGATCCAAGCTTTGAGAAGCACCCTAGAAAGTGCGGTAGGCAATATGTTAAGACGCCCGCCTAGCGCTCTATCTAACTACTCAATCAAATCTCGATCAGATTTGGATAGAACTTAGGCTTTAATGCGGGGTAACCATGACGAATAACTTCGATGTCATACCTTACGCTCATAAGATTGATTTTCCGGCGTTTCATAGACCACAATTTCTTCTGATTCTTCGCTGGAACTCTCATCAGAAGCTTCAGATTTGTGATGAGGGGAATTTTCTTCTTCAAAAAAGAATAATTTTATGCTCAAATCAAATTTAATTACTATACAAAAATCTCACGGTTTCCTTTCTGAGGCTGGAATAACAACGTTTTCAATGCTTTTGGTGTGATGGGGGTGGAGGACCATATGTCGCCGAAAGTAAGAGGGTCCCGCGCGGGTTCCCTGCAAAAACGTACCTCCATGCATGTGAAAGGGTGCGTATTGTTGCAGATGACTGCAGGGGCCGCCCCATTTCGGCGTATATATAGTTTTCCACCCGTGTGGTGAAGGAGAAGCTCAGACTTACCAGCTGTTTAGACTCTTTGCTTGCCCGCTGCAAATGATATTTGTAAATGATTGAGAATACTGCATCCACCGCACAGAAACCTTTTTACTTTTTCAAACGCTTACCTTTCTTCTGCTAGGAACTTTCATTGATTCTTTTTCCTTAGATTGTTTAGTATTTGTGTCATCCGTCTCGTTCTTCTAAAATTTGCAAAATTCAAAATTTTCAGAACTGCACATCATGTAATCGGAAAAAGGAGACAATTTTGAAAGCAAGGACAATGGCCTTTTGGACTACTCGCAAATTTGCAAGTTTTTGTTTGTCTGCGCAGTCAACACGTGAAAGCTCGATTTACTAACAGTTTCGAGCGTTCAGTTACCCAGATGTGACTTATGCGGACCAAAATAAACTGAAAAAGAATGAAGATTGATTGTTTGTTTTTTAATGCATAATGTCGTACTAAAGTTTGAGAGAAACATGTTAATGATATGCTTACTTAAAGGCAGCGTACACTTAAAATCTAAGTTACCGAATTTCCTAGACCTTTCTATACCGTGTATATACTGGGCCCAGAAGAAGACCAACTGCATTGGTCCGGTCTCCCAATGTTGCTTCTGAGCGGAGAAAACCCCCCTCAATTTTCTGCTCCGCCCCTTTTCTTTCACTCCGCCTCCTCCGGACGAATCCACGACAGCGTAAGCTACAGTTGCCGTTGCAGCTGCTGTTGCAATGCTGTTGCATCTGCAACTGCAGTTGCAACAGTGCAGTTGCTTTTTGCGGTGCGCCTTCTTCGGGCGACGAACCACGACAGCATATGCAGCAGTTGCAGTTGCAACTACAAGCTGTCATGCTATTGCAGCTGCTGGCATGCCGACGGGGACGAGCAGTTCGAAACTCGTCCGCACCTGAAGAGAGGTTCCCCGGAAATCGGGGTCTTTTGGGACTTTTGGAGGATTTCAATGACATAACTGTAATCAGCGACACGGAAAGGCCCCAGAATGACAAAAACATCGAAGGTGAAATTTTGGGTGTACGCTGCCTTTAAAGAAGCTTGCGCTTAATTCTTAAGCAAAATTCAGCACTGAGTATGTCTCCCAGAGTTGTCTTCCCGGCAAAAACCGCCATGCGTCCGCTTCAAGATTCTTTCTAGCTGCTATTTATCCTCTTTGTCATATATGCTTCCAAATATACCGACAACCACTCTTGATGTTTCGTTGTTTACCTCTACCTCAAATTTGCGCTTGGCATGATCAACCAAGCAGCAAGAAAAGTGTGCGATACTCTCCGATACTCTCACCTTGCCTATGCATTCAATATAATTATCCCGAAGCGCCTAAACATCAGTGTCCGCCCTTCAAGAATACGAAATGGAAACCTAATGCTCTCAAAGGCAGTATGAAATGGTTGCAGCAGTGTTCTTCTACGTGTGAGCCATTTACAAATTGTGATAAGGACCTGGCACGATGGGGACAAATGCCAACTGGAAATCGCTTAGAGGTAATAAGCGGCAAGGTTGTCGAGGTGCACGTGATAATCGCTGCAGTTTGTTCCGCATTTCTTCAGAGCTCTTCTTGCTTTGGCTATTTCCACTATCGTCCACTTCTGCACTTCCGAGCTTCTCACACAAAGCTGCTCCGCAGCTGGCGTTCACTATTAGTTGCTCAAAAGTCACGTTCAAATCGTGCCTTAAGGCTCTTCTTTTTTCAAGCTTCCTAATTGGCCTTCGAGTTGCGTTCGACGTTATTCTCACGTGTCGTTGAGGCACCTCTTGAATAGGTTCCAATCTCTCCTTAATCATACGTTCAGGCCTTCTCGATGGACTAGTTGCAACTTGATAACTTCCAGCCTGTCACTGCCATAAACAATTTCTTTTTTTTATGCTATACCAGACCTTCTTTACCAGCTTTCGATTGAATCGTACTTTCGCTCGAAGGAATCGTTCATCGAAACAACTGCAGAAATACTGAACTGCCGAGACATTGAGCAGGCTCCACTTTCAGTTTGTAGGGATGGTCGATCCTCGCTTGCCTCGCTCCGTTGGGGGGTTTCATTTTTACAGTTGTTGTTCAATCCCAAATGAACTTAGAATCGCTATGGGAGTATGCGGCGGGAAGAACCCAGCGAGAGGGTGCGCTTTCGTTTTGGAGCCCATATCCAAAACTTCCCACCTGATTCCTCTTCTATTAGCATCTCGAATTTGACAGGAAAGTCGCCCACAGCAAAGCTGCAGGCTGCAGACTACATCATCAGCGTCTTCGTAGAATGATCCAATTACGATCCGTAAACCGTTGATGTTAAGCAATAGCAGGTACTGTCATCAATGTGAGGGAGGAGCGACACAGCAAGTCGAGATGACAAAGCAATTTTATCAGCGCCTAGTATCGTCGGCTTTTCATAATGTTACTCGTCCATGATTTCCCTTCTCGTATATCGCTGGAAGTCAGGAGAGAAAGTGCATTCTTTTCATATTACTGCAAAATCCGGCCGAATCGAGAAGGTGGGCTTGAAGCTTTGAATCCGTCTACTAGTCGAGCTTTCTTCAAAAGTCTGTGTAAGCGTCTCAGGTTGCTCTTCTTTTTATCAAGTCTCTCAAACGGCTTTCGTTTTCGTCGAAGTCTCACTCAGACAATCGGTGCTGTAGTCGCGCCGGACAGTCGAAATCTGGCAGAGTTGCGGCGGACCCAATTGACCATTGAGAGCGGGGCGAGGGGCGGTCCCTTCTTGTAGGTCACGGTGACGTCACAAGCAGGCGAATGGAACCCTTCTCCGGATCTGCTCCGGAGGTACGCCAGATTTGGGAGAGCGGCGGCGGAGAGATTTGCCCGCCGCAAGTGCGCCAGATTTGGGACACCTCCGAAGCAGAAAAATGGCAGGGCTCCGGAGCACGAGCGGCAATCCCCAGCTGGGGAAACCCCGCGGCTCGGCCATTTCTGCTCCGGAGGTATGCCGTCGACTGTTTGAGCAGTTACACGTAAGAAAACTTCTTACGTTATGATGGTACCTCCGTTTTCGTAGCTTGGCTGGAGACGCTCTCACAAAAAGTCCTTTCCTTTTTACTCACGTTCCAAACTTCCTCCCTACTTCGTTAATTTCCCTCAGCATGTCTCCAGTTTAACAATACTGCTTGAAAAGAAAACGATGTCTCCGCAAAACAAACTTTTGAGAGGAGTCATCGACTTGTACGCCATTCTTATCCAAAGTAGTGACTTCATCATCCACTGTAAGGCGCTGTGAGCCGCTTCAGAGAGATCGTGTAGCGTTGTTGTCGGATCCCCTAGTCGAGTCTTAGGAGGCGATGGAACAGCTGTAATGCTGTGATGTTGTCGTACAGTCCTTGTAGCAGTCGGCCGATGTCCGCACATAAGCTGGGCCTACTCCTTGATTGGCTAATGCTGACAAGATCAGGCGGGTTTCGATGCTGTTGAAAAAGGCTTTCTCATAGTCGACGAATGTTTTCCCAACAGACTTCTACGATCTTCGCATCGCCAGGACATTTCTCAGCAAGAATCTCCTCCAAAATTCCACGTGGAGGATGAACTCAGGTGTTATTGATATGCGAGCGAGCATTTCTTCCAATATGATATTCAAACTCCCAACTCCTATAAGCCTTTTTTAGTGCCACTTAAATTTTTGCTCCCACAAAACCTACTTCACACTCCCTGAAAAGCGTCGTTCTCACTCATATCGGATGGTAGTTGTTCTTTCTAACAATCTTTTGGCGTAGAGGGTATGATTGAAGTGACATGATCGCATGTGGGGCTACAAGATGGACGAAAGCGGTAGACAACAAAGCCAGTAGGCAAAGTTCTTCATTGCAAACTTTCGTCACGAATGAAATAGGTCCCACCAAGACTGTCGCACGTCATTTTGGTCTGCGCTCCCTGCAAACTTTTGGTGCGGTACAGTCGAGTGGATTTTCTGCTTAATACAGTGTTTGCACTGTGAATGAAATGCGGTAAAATTTGCGCGTGAACAAATATAGTCGTCCTCACCCCACTAGTCGATCAGTGGTCGAGTTTGAATTCGAACTGGAGCAGACCGGCCGCGGCAAAGCGCGGCAGGCTGCCCCTTAATCAACCGCTTGCACATGAGCTTTTCTCTTATTTTCTTCGTGTTTCTTTGCTATCTTTCGTATTGCGGCAATGTTCTTTATCAGATTTTAGATTTCGCACTGCTAACTACTGTTTTGTGCAGTTGTGCTCGTTTGTTTTGCATTTTCTTCCATGTAAACGGGGAAGAAGGATGCGATTGGAGATTTTTGGATGAGAAATCTCTTTTTTTCCGCTAAGTGACATATACACAAATGTGATTGATGAAATGTGTCAAGTTTTTCGTTAGAATATATACTCTAGACTTTTTTTGCGGTAAGGCTGAAATTCTCTCAACAAGTGTTCGTTTTAAAGAGTTAGCGGTAGAAAGCTGAAAGTCTGATTAAGAACATTGCCGCAATACGAGAGATAGCAAAGAAACACGGAAAAATAAGAAAAAAGCTCGTGCAAGTAGTTGGTTGAGGGGCGGTCTGCCGCGCTCTGCCGCGGTCAGCCTGCTCCAGTTCGAATTCAAATTCGACCACCGACCGACTAGTGGGGTGAGGACGACTATAGCTACGCTCGTGACGCTGGCCAACCGCGCGCGCAAAATGCCGGCATTACTGGCGTGGCTAAATGCTTACGCGCAAATTCTACCGCATTTTAACATAGTGCAAACACACTATACTAAGCGGAAAGTCCACTCGACTGTAGTTGATGTGCTCAGCTGTATCGCGGAGATGGTTGGCGCCGGCATCTGTAGAGACTTTTTAATGCCGGCCGAGGGAGGAATTTGACCGAGTTTGTCCATGATAGGCTTTCCACTCGAAACTTTGAGAAGGACCAACTAGACGTGACACCTATCGTGCCTGCTGACTAATAATAGACTCAATGTATTTTTTTCTTTCCTCGTGAACGAGAGTAACATTACGACCGCGAATTCTTACGCTTTGTAAGCGCTTCGGGTGCATTTTTTAACCTGCAGGCTGTCCTCGTCTAGTGCAAGTTCATAAGGTGGCCAATCGTAGCGGGGCACAACCAATCAGATGCGCGCCGTTTGGCAAGCGCTTGCATGCTATCTCAAAGACAATTTTCCCTACTTCTACTGGTGATGAAAGATCAGAATGTTCTTACTTTTGGCTTGCGATGCTTTTTCTTTCCTGCAGGAGTTGCTGCAGTTTTTGCTAATGGCAGTCCCAATTTTTGTAACGGCGGCACTGGTGTTTGAGCTGCAGCAGGAATTGGAGTTTTCATTAGTTTTCCTCCTGGTGTCCTAGCGACAGCTGTTCTAGCTTTCTCGGTCGTCTGAAAATTGTAAGTGCTAAATATGGTAAACTGCTAATCTACGATGTACCGATGATTGCGTGCTGCGATCGGATGACGTTTGCTGAAATGCACTTTTATATTTAATGTTCTGGAGGATTTTGTTCTGCGCAAAACCTCACCATAGTTTAATGAACTGTAAGTTTTTGAAGTAGAGAGTTTGTTTTTGCTGTCTTGCAATCTGAAACTTATTTAGATTGTAGAAACAAGAATTTAATAGCGTTTCTGTGACGACGCCATGTCCAAGATGAGATGACGGATTTGCTGACCGGTTCGGTCACTGCCGGCAGGCGAATGCAAGCTGAGAATGAATAAGATGAGGAATGATTTCTATTTATATGGCACATGTTTACGAGCAACATGATATGGTCAAATCATCAGGATTCGTGCAAAAATGATAATTTATTATGAGTGGTTGTTTTGAAATAATTTCATTCAGTCGCCCTTTTCATATACAACTCTTACGAGAATTCTTGCTTCATAAAAACAGCCATTCAAAGGAAATCACATGAATGCTGCGTTGTAAAGAGGTTAATCTTTTGTTGGACATGTGGCGCAATTCGCTCCGTCAGACTTACTAAATGATTTTCAGAAAGTAAAGTTTTTCGGGTATATTTAGAAATTTTCATATTTAGCTGTCATAGATGAATTTGGCATGCTATTTTCCATGGAGTTGCAGGTTGTGTGCTTGATCTTATGATCAAGCACACAACCTGCTGAGCTGTGGGAAGTTTTGTGGAGTTTTGCAAAAAATTGTTAAAGTGTTACCGCTGGACTTCGGTTAAGGATCAAGGGTCCACACTTTATGTGCTCTAATTAGTTAGCTTCGATGTGTTAGTAAAAAGTGAGTAAAAATCATAGTTAAGTAACTGGCGATGTGTTTTGAAATTTGAGGGCCACTTTTGAAGACAGTGCGAAAATAAATTGGATCTAACGAGTTCCCCTGTCTCAGCTATAATTTCTAAAAGAGGCAAGAAGGGAGAAAAACCGAAAGAATATCAAGTCACAAAAGTGCCATAGAAATCCTTGACGAGAGAACGAAGAGTAAGGAAGAGAAAGCCAGGCAGCATTTTTTCTTTAAAATTTTGTTTATCGGTCATACCAACGGATAGGAGGAGGTAAAGAGTTAGCTCCTACAATTTTTTCCTTGATGAAAATTTCATTAGCACTATTGCTGTAGGCCACTATTAAACGCATTCTGTCAGTAAGCTACAAATCACGGTTATGAGTCTTCTAAACAGACAGTCGTCTGTTTTACAATAACGGATTGTGATAGAAGATCGAACTGCATTACAACATTCAAGAAGCTTAGCTATACTTATGCAAGTAAGGAAGAAGACTAGACCTCTCAGCAGCGTGAAAGCTCTTAGGCCCCGAACAGACTTCACGCGATTTGATCGTCGCGACTCAATCGCCGACATTTCCATTCATTTTCATTTCACATTCAAAAACTTCGGGATAGAAAAGTATCACAACCGAAATGCAAGTTGATCGGCATGGAATGATGTTGTAACAGTTGTCTCGTCGCGATTCAGTCGCGACGATCAAATCGCGTGAAGTCTGTCCGGGGCCTTGTCCACTGAAGCAATCAGAAATGAACAAATTTCAATTTGCGAAACTGATAGAGCGTGTTCAATTTTTTGAGTGAAGCTTTCCTCTATCTGCGATTAATGAAAAACTAGCAGAATGGTTCCCAAAAAATTTTCGCAAAGGTAGAAACTAAAGTTCAAATCTTCCTAGGGAATTAGCGTAGTGTGATACTTCTCAAATTCTTGCAAACTTATATCTTAGAAAGCTCAACGATGGCTATGCCATTCCGCTGAAATTCGATTTGAATAAAATTATAGTCATTATTGGGGGGTTCAACAACGACTGTTTACACATCGGAACATTCAACGTGAGACGCCTGGCAAACGAAATCCAACTACATGAACTGCAAGAAGCCCTGAAGAGAACACGACTCGATATACTGCCCCTAACAGGAGAGACGAATTTTAGAAGAAGCTTGGCACTTGCAATTGGCAAAGATAAGATCACTCACACGTTAAAAAAATGGATCAGCTTGTTTGGGTGCCGCATATTGTAATAATATGAAAGGCAAATAAATCATAAGTTATAAATCATAGTCATTTGCTTTTCAAAACAAGCATAGCTTTTTACTACCAAAAAATCCGCAAGCCCCTTTTCTACTCCGGAATCCTTCACCTTATTTCACCCCTGGGAAATAGTTATTTGATTTTTCCTTCTCGATTTAGCATCTACAGGGAGTGCTAGAGGACAGTGAAGGAACAGCCTCCTCCTCGGGAAGATCGCGAAATCTTCAAAAGTAGCCTAGATGACTTTTAGATACTAGTACTAGTTCTTGATGATAAAAATTTTTGCTAAAATTTTTTTCGGAGCAGGGGCGTGGCACGCCATGTAGGCTTCACAAGAATTTCAGAAATCATCTCAAAAGATTCTCAAAAGGCTAATAACATCATGCTTCATCATTCAAAAAAATTTCTGTAGCTTTCCCCGCTTCCTATACTTCTTCCCCGCCCCTCCCGCCGCGATTTCCTCGTGGACCCATCACTTCCCCCCGTCTACCTCATTCGACTCCAACCAGACGGCTGCGCCTTGAACCGGGACACACACAACCCGCTGCGATTTAATTGAATTCGTCGACATGTACAAGCAAAAACTGCTCTAAGACGACGGAAATTGAACAATACGTCTATCAAACACCGCTATTGATTGATTGCTATGCATCTTCTGACGATCGGATTGAAAATGTTCAAGGCGACTATGAGTAATCTGTAGATTTGAATTAGAATCAGTGACAAAAATAGTAAGATAAAAAATACTCGTAAAATATTCGTTTATTCACAGAGAAAACCCGTAACATAGAGGCACAAGGTGTAGCAGGAAAATCAATCAATATATAAATCCGAAACATACCGTGGCGCGGAAAGGGGGATATGGTGAGATTACGGTATTGACAGTAATCTAAGTCTAATTATACGTATTGATCGTTCGCGGATGTATCTATTCTATGGGCAACTTCAACTGACTATTATTAGTCACTGCAAGTACAGTAATACTTTTGTAGAAGCAGCTACTAATCGATCAAATCAATAAAATTATCGTTACCTTAATGTATAGTTCTAGGTACATCGAGGCGATAAACTAGTAGTTATACAATATTTGGAACACCGAAAAGCACTAAAGGAGATCACAGGGGTAAAGATTACAAATGCATTTCCCTTCGGGTACAATTTTTTTCACACCCTCAGTTGCAAGTGGATACCCATCGATGTTGTACGCAATCTTTACAGATCAACTTACAGCACCATACAAATTTACAATCGCATTTGTAATGTATTACTTCGTGTGTGATCTGAACGAAAAGTTTGGGTAAGGGTAAGAGCGGTAAGCCGAAACTTACCTTGTATCCTTTCCCACAGCATAGTCTCCCACAATCACCTTGCGCATGAGTTTGATTACGCCAAGCGCAAACTCGACCGGATGTTGTCTGTAAGTTGAAATCGAAATTTGAAACGAGTACAGTAGCTGAGGTAGGGTTAGCGGATTTAGAGAAAGATATTCGGAAGGGGAGAGGGGGGAGGGTGGTGAAAACATTCAAATGTGGAGTGTGCCAAAAAACTGAGAAGCGATCACAGTTTACTATTAACTTTTCAAGAACTTTGAGTATCAGATTTAGGCTAGCTTCAGCCCAGTTTTGCACAACTAAACAAACCACAGATCATTTTTCATTACTATAGGATTACGGTAAGAACTTAAGGGCACTCGTAGCACTGAGAATAGAAAATCCAGCAAATGGAGTTTGAAAGAAGCTGCAACCCCTAATGTTAAGTAAAACTTGGCCATTCTTATAGTCACGCATGCCGCAAGCAGTTCTGTTACCTCTTTATTCTATTTAGATTCTTTAAACTCTTTCAATGACTCCAAATCTAAATTGTATGACACAGATAGCCCTTAGCCTTACAAAGCCCGAAAATCAGTTACAAATTTACCAAGAATTTATGGAATGAAACTTGTTATCTCAAGTAGGAGTGCGCTGGAAGTTCCAGCCATAATCCAGTGGCGTACTGAAGGGCTAGCTCTCCCCCTCCCAAGGATGGATCGCGAAATATTTGAAAGTTACTTACATGGGCTTCAAAAATGTGCAAGAGACTTGTTTATACTCAAATAATTAAAATAATTCTTGATTTTTTTCGAGAATCAAAAATTAGCTCAATAAAGAAAATTATCCGGGGTCATGGCTGCCGCCACGCCCCCCTTCTCTAAATTTCGAAGTTGGCAAAAATTTTGAGGTACACCATAAAAGATTTTTCGGAGTGCGTGGAAAATACGCGCCTTCATCCAAAAAGTTTTCTCGTCATCTTGTCCCCCTCCCCCCTCGTATGGAAACTCTGAGTACACCACTACGTAATGCTGCAATAATGAAGAGCGAAATTTTCATACAATAGGTCTATATTTAAGTGGATCCTGCAAAATGGTCCCAAATATTTGCGAGAGTTAACATGAGTTCAGCGATCACACTCTATATATTTTTTGATCTCCCTGTATGCAAAGATGTCAATAAATATACTTGATCATGTTCGGCGTAATAAAATTTTTTTCTGTAATTTCGCTAATTTAAGGCAGGTTTAAAAAGGAGTGGGGGAGGAGAACGAGGAAAATGAATTGGTGACATTATCATTTCCAAGGATTATAAGAAAATCATGAGAAATGGTTCTAGAAAAATCTAAAGCCAGAACATGAGCTGAGAACTGACAATTAAGGGATATGCGAGCCAGCAGCCAACAAGGAGGAAAATGCGCGAAGTGCGTGAGGGAGAAACATAAGAATTGCGCGAAGAATGAGGAAACTTCTAGAACCTGTAATGTAAACATTGTCTTTGTAGTTTTTCTAAATCTAAGCATCGCGGAGGTTACATATCGCTTTGATTGACGATCATAACCCATAAGAAAATTTACCTGTTGCTCGCATGGGTTCGGTGATGGTTCCAAATAAACTAAGTCCGCATTCTTTACTTTTTGTCCTTCGACTTGTTTCTTTGCGCGCGTATACCTACAGTAATCATAATTGAATTACTTATGAGAGGCAAGTCACAGTGTGGTTAACTTACTTGTCTACCAAGTAATCAGCAATATGATCGAGCGTAGCCGTCTTTTTCCAGCAGGTTTTCTGTTGACAAGAACCGGATACACCATGACATTTGCACGATGCAATCAGGGTTTTCTTCACCGCCTAGAAATTTCCATAAGATTGGCAAAAAACATTTTGAGAGGAAACGGAAGGGGGGGAGGGAAACTTACCAGACGACCAGCTTTCAAATTGTGCTTCTCCACATTTCTCAGTGGATTCTTCACTACAGGTGTTTTCGTAAGCAATCTGCGACTTGCTGTTATACCGTGCTGCACACTGAATGAGCACCTAAACTATCAGTCAAAAATCGATATATTGATCGATTTACTAAAAATTTTGTGTTACCCGCCATATTCCCAACCAGGCACACCATCATGAGCACAACTACAATCGTCAATCCATCCTTGAGCACAAGCCGTAGCTACTCCCCAGGCTGCGCCAGCCGATGATAAGGCCCATATAAGCGCTGATTCCCGATAGGCTGAAGTTCTGAGTTTATACTTATCCGGCTCCCTTCCCGCCCCCTTGTGACGTCGACAAACCTTTTTGCAATATGGGAGGATCATGCATGATATGACCAACATTCGTACAATCCCATTGTTGAAAACGCATACGATCAGCACATTGCCCCATTGCATCCTTTAATTTAACTACTCTAATTATATATTGTCCTTAGTCCAGACTTTTAGCCATAGAGCAGCTTACCTGTATCCCTTCGAATGCTGCGATTACGGTAGATGGTTGCGTTCGGCATGCGACTTGTATAGAACGATGTGTTCGTGAATGTAGTAACTCGGGACCACATCCCTAGGGAATCAATATTATTGATTAACCAAAAAAATTACTACGACAGCGGCGGGGGGGGGGGGAATGTAGGGTGCACTCTAAGGAGGTTCGACGGTGTCTCTTGCGGTATTTACAGCGCAATTACAGCCAATGGCCGTTTTTACCCTTATGCGTGTGGATTACTGTATGTACAATTAGTAATGGACAAGATCTACAATAACAACTTTTAAGCAAATTTGGAATGATTTATAACAGGAAAAAATTTTTTTACCACAAGAATTTTTTCTCGTGCGCTAAAACGTTTAGGCTACAGTATCAATGAGAATGAGTCAGAGATTGTGCCAAATGTCAGTATATAGCATTGAAATCGTCGATTTTACGGGCACGGACGCTCCTCTTCGGAAGACCATCAACTCACTGTAAAACAGGTTCGGGAGGCCCGTTGCGCTCATCGTCATCTGACTCAGGGACGCATTTACGACCATCGTCGTCGGTCGCCGTCGTCAAGCACAAAATGGCGCGCACTCTTAGATGAGGACGAATGATTTTTCGTAAGCATAGCGCGGATAAGAGGGAGGAGAAGCGATTTTTGGGGTGGGTGTGGAGGGGGGGGGGGAAGTAATAAAAAAATGTTTTCATTGCCAGAGTTCATAGATCCAATTAGCTAGGCCATTGCAGAGAAAAAAGAAAGCAAATCTATGTATCAAGCACAAAAGTCTTGGGTTGAAAGAAAATACGATGCGTTCCCGAGTTTGGACGTGGGCGGAGACCAACTTATACGCATAGCGGTCTCAGTAAGGAGTTCAAACAATGCTAACTTGGAGATTTGAAATTGACATCAATGGTTCGGTTCTTGAAATTTCAAAACTTTGCCTTTGCTCTAATCTTGTTAATAAATGTCGCTTCAACAAGGGTCAAGCAAAAATTGGTATTTTGATGTAAAAACTGGTATTCTTCCGTGCGGGCACATACTAGGTCACAATTTTGCATTTAAAATGAAGAATTATTGCACACAAATGCATACGCGAGAGTAACTGAAGACTTTGATGAGCGGAGGTTATCAGGTTGAAGATGTCCAAACACACTAAAATTAGTAGGAATAAGCTTCAAGGGAATTAATATGCCATTTTTCGAATTTCAAAATTTTTCTTGATTTGGTTTTCGGTCATGAAAAAAATACGGCAAGTTCATATACAAATAAATGTAAGTCTAATATGTATGAATTCGAAATTTTGTAAAAATTAGGACAGAGATCCTATCTTTGAGGCAAGAAATTGTTTTCAGATTTTGGCCTTAGACATTATCATAAATAAATTCAATAAATGTTGGGTTTCATCTGGTTGATCTCGGTCTTTGTCGAATCTATCCCACAATGCCCTTTCAGTTTTCGAACAATCTTAACCTATAAACTGATTCTCTTCCTAATCTAATATTTCATTTGGGAGAAGGCGGATTGTGGGGGGGGGGGGTTGGGATAATCAGGTAAGGGAATAGAAGACAAGTTGGGACTCCACAGGTATTGAATTAGGCAAAATGGGAAATTCCCTCAGCTTCCAAAGTATCACTTCCATTCTATTTATATACAAACAAGCAAATAAGCATACCTAAAAATAGCTTAGAGTTCAAGGCGAGCAACAAACCCTTTCAAGGAGAAAAAGTGGCAAAGGCACAGGAATTGTGCAATGGAAGGGGCGTTATGCGTTATGGCGCATAAGATGCCCTTAAACGATTATTGTATGTTTGATGATCTCATCAGAGCAAATAGTGGGAAGAAACATCAAAAGACGGAAACGTCGATGAATCAGGTGATGGAATTGGAGAAAGGAGGAAGGAAAATCATACCTGAAGTAGTTTGAGGGGTGGCGGAGGCGGAGTAAAGTTCTGTACGACATGAACAGCTAAGAGCACAATACCGGCAATAAGCCAACTGTGGATTTTCGCCGAATGTCCGCGAAAATGTAAATAGCTTCGGCAATAGCTTAAAATGTGAGATTTCTTGTCAGTCGCTGGCGATTTGCCAATATCTGAATACAGCAGCAAATCGTCCAGATGATTAGCATCTGGCTCTGCGTCGATGCTCATCCCCTCCGGTGACTTCACGTACGGTCGCGACGGCGGACGATCTGCCGACGACGACGATGCGGATGACGAGCGCATTTGACTGTGCGCACTGTCGTTCGTCAGAGTTGCGCTGCATCGTCGTTCTGCGCTCTCCGCAAAGCGCGCGGTCTTTTCACACCGCTACCGTAACCCTGCGGTGGTGGGCGGTTTGCTAAGGGAATCAGGGTCAGCATTACGCGTGCGATGCGTTTTGGTTATTGAAACGAGACTCATCAAAATTTCACGTCGTTTTAGGGAGGCGCGCATAAAGCCGAGCGAGATAATTGTCATGGTTATATGACAGCCGGAAAATGACATTGGAGCACTATGTCCTGTTGAGGGTAAATAGATTAGTGGGAATGCTTGATGAAACTCAGATTCAATAGAGACGCCTAGTGTAACGTTCCATCAATGAATCTATCTTGCTGTGCATTTCCTGAAATTTTCTTCGGAAGGGAGGGTGGAGGGGATGGGAGAATGCAGTTTGTGAGTGAAGGGAATAGCAATCGGATATTTGCAATGCTTCCTAAGCTTTTAGCAAACTCGTGACCTCGAACTTTTGAGAAAGGCTTGTAAAGCTGATCTGATTCACTAATATCTATCCATGCATATATGAAACTGATGCTGAGTGTGGGTAAATTTTTAGTTAGTTTGTTCTTAATAGAAATTTTCGTCTGTAGACCGATCAGCGCCAAACTTTGCACACATATGTTTTCGACACCGGTCCACCCTGTAGACTACTTTTCGCAGCGAAAAGTACGCTCCTCCTATTGATTTATCGATTCTGAAGAAAAATGAACTCTTATCATGTATTATCAAACCAGAGGAGGGAGATTCGGTAATTCACGCGATGCGGTCAGCAAGTATCTGCCCTTTGTTACAAGAGAAAGAAAAAGAAGCCAAAGCGCTGGTAAGTTGAACCTTTAGAGTTACACCAATTTTGCTTTTTGTTGAGCCAGTTAAACCCACGATGCGGACGAAGCTGGACATGCCAGCTAGTACATATTAGGTTGTCAAGAAAATAATGTCGGTTTTCAATTGCTTCCTTCAACAAAGCAACCAGACTCAACCCAACAAAGGGTAAGGGGTACTTTTCGATAGAGCAAAGCGAGCTCTACAAGATGGCTCTCATATCTTTGCGCCATGCTCGATCCACGGAGAGTTTGAACTCAAAATCTAAAGATTTCCAAATGCCCAAAAAATCGAAAAAAATCAGATCTTCGTCCAAATAATTTCTACGGACCTCCCACCGCTCACATCAATACTATCGATATCTGATAACTATATGTGCAATTGCCGTATTTTTTTTCTTGACTAGAAACTGAAAAAGCGAAAATTTCCCTGATTTTCTCAAAGCAATGCTGAGCCGTTTTTGCATATGTAGTTCTATACTACAAGCCTAGATAAGCATAACTGTAGGTTTTCAGCCTATTTCGAGCGGTACTTTTCGAGAAATGTCGATTTTAGCATTGAAATTGAAACAAAAAAATCCGAATTCGTTATTTTTCGAAAACTACCGCTTGGAATGGGCTGAAAATTTACAGTTATACTTAACTAGGCTTGTAGTATAGAACTACATATGCAAAAACGACTCAGCATTGCTTTGAGAAAATCAAGGAAATTTTCGTTTTCTCAGTTTCTAGTCAAGGAAAAAATACGGCAATCGCACATACGGATATCAGATATCAATAGTATTGATGTGAGCGAGTGGGAGGTCCGTAGAAATTATTTGGACGAAGATCTGATTTTCTTCGATTTTTTGGGCATTTGGAAATCTTTAGATTTTGAGTTCGAACTCTCCGTGGATCGAGCATGGCGCAAAGCATGAGTGCCATCTTGTAGAGCTTGCTTTGCTCTATCGAACAGTATCCCTTACCCTTTGTTGGGTTGAGTCTGGTTGCTTTGTTAAAGCAAGCAAATAAAAACCGACATTATTTTCTTGACAACCTAATATATAAAACTCAAAGTTTGTCCGTAAAAATGTTTGTGTTTTATAGAAATCTTTCTGAATAGAAGGATTGAGCTGAATCTTGCTCTCACATTAATAAGCCACGGTGCGGGACTTAGGCTACTTTTTACTGGGTCGACGATTTACTGGGTCCTTCTATCGATGTATTGATTTGCTTACTCAGGGTAAATGCAAGCTTATCAAATCACTGGTTGGCAAACCCGGCTCCGCCCGGCCCTGTCGATAACATATTTGTAATCAGCATGCTCGATTACCCCCCTGTGCCAACTCCCAGCCCCGTAGCTCAAATTTTGCAAAAAATCGATAAAATTGATATCGATCGATAACGAAAAGTAGCCTATGACACGCTCCCTGCCCCGAAGTGTATGTGTGCCAAGTTTGGTCCAAATCGGTTCAGAAATAAAAATTTCTATTCCGCACATACGTACAGACATACAGACAGACATTCAGCTTTATAGATAAGATTTGTGTGAATTAGGATGAACAATAGCGGTACGTCCCATCTTAAGTTTCTGCAGGCAAAGCGCAGTGACAAGAAGTGTAGCTCAACTAGGCCCCATAGACGTTGGTAGATAAAGTTTGCGGTTACGTTGAGATATGTGAAATCCTTAGGATATTATGTTCGCCACAATTACTGAAAGTGTTTGTTTCTGTTTCAGCTTGAATGCTGAAGGCATTGGATCTACTACTGCGGATTATTTTGACTACCCTAATTCCACGAGTACAAGACGCATCCGTTTTTTTCGAACCTCAACCATCCTGAACACATCAAAGAGAGACCAAAGAACCCTTTATTGTCCTGCGTCTTATCTAGAAGAATTGTGGGGAGAGCGAACATTTCACGAAGTGTTTGGTTGAAAAAATTGAAGAGGCGCGTCTTGTACTCGTAGAATATTAATATTGGAGTGCTCCAATTGGAGTGCTTAATGGTATCGGACCAAAAACCTATTGCAGCAGTCGTCCATAGGACATAGTTGATCAAGTGATTAGCAAAAGCACCGTTTTTTATTGTAGAATGAGGAAATGCGAAAGGATCTTGGGAACAAAAATAGCGATACAAGGAAGAAATTCAGGTTACACTCACTTTTGTCGCAGATCGCTTTGTAGGACAAATTGCCATGAAAATGGGCAAGTATTGTCAGATTTGCATAAATCATGGGCAAAGCCTTGCGTGATGGATAGAAAAGCAACGACTAGTGGACGACACGATACCAAGTATTCTTCAACATTGTGATAAGTGATGCTAATCGCTCACATCCATCTCACAATGCTTACGAGTACATTCACGTAAGTCAACAAACTTGAAGAGAGAGATAAGCACGGAAAATTAGATCAAAGGAGGTAAGGCGAATGAGACAGTTATTAACCTGTTAAATTAAAAGGAGTAACTCGTTCATGATCGGATATGCCAGCTAGTCATAAATAAAAGCAAGTCACTTGCACAATTGTATGACTCAGCGATATATTGCAGTGTTTCCAGCATGGCTTTCCGAACACCCTAACGGTGACGCCAAATTTTCTCCGCACTTCAAAAAATTTTTACTAGCGTACCAAACAGCGCAGTTTCCGTGATGTAGAGTTAACCTTTGTCTAATTTTGCTCATTTTTATTTACCTAGGTTCAAGTTTTGAGGTCCGTAATAGATGTTAATTGCGAAAAGCTTCTGCTTGTGTGAGCAGGTTTAGGCAGAGAATACCCAAAATCCAGAATGCTGATTAGGAAGTTAGAAAAATTTAAAAGCTCTAACGTATTGTCAAAGTTTGCTCTATTTGTATTTGACTCACTTTTTTTTTCAAAAATCTGGCAGAAAAATTTTGAAAATTTGCCATTTGCTCTATTTGTATTTGACTCACTTTTTTTCAAAAATCTGGCAGAAAAATTTTGAAAATTTGCCAAACTTTGACATGCAGAATAAAGGGGGCAGGATTCTGTCAATCATCAAAGTACAGAAAACTGTAAGCCAAAAATGCAAAAGGTTAAAAGAAGAAAATGCTTCTTTGAATGCATGTTTAGACAAAATCAGGTGTTTATTATGAGAAATTTCGCGTTCGAGATTACGACCGATCTACCGGAAATGATATTTTCTTTGTTCTAATTTTGAATCAATATTTCCTCAAAGCTAGAGGGAACGCGATATTTGATTAATACGATACCTTCGATAAAGACATTAGAAATACGTAATTATCAGCACCGCTTGTTTTAGAACTTATCATGTGCCACTGCTAGTAAAAATATTATGTGCCACTGCTAGTGAAAATATAAGAAAATGATGAGATACAACTGAACAGAATTGAAATGTGAAATGTGGGATTTCACAGAAAACAGACATATTTGGTGTCGAACTTCTTGAACAGGTTTCCTAGTTTCTTTCCTGTTATATTGTATAAAAACTTCAGCTTCCACAATATTTTGCGTCATTCCGACTCCAGGTTATTCTCTGCAAGCATGCATTCTACGTCATGAAAGAAGTTACTGAACGTGTCAACGCCATAATTCTCCCAGATTACTCTATCATTTACCGTCCCAATGTAGATGGCAATGTAGAGGGCTTCATCAGGCTAGAAGGGAGGACTGACAGCGGCGAATTTCACTGCGTATCGTCCCCTCTCAAATCTATGCAGCTCAGTTTACAAAAAAACTTGAAAATATGCACGTTCCGACTAGTGAGTGAACGAACAGTGTTGAAATTTACACACATACTAGCTTGCTTACCCGGCTCCGCTCGGCCCTGTCAAAACACTTTGATAAAAGTTCCATCCCTATCCCTGTACAGGCTTTCCCTGTGCCCACTTCTACACTTCATTTCCCTTTCCCTGTGTTGTTTTCGAAATCAGCATTCCAGTTAACCCCCCCCCCCCCCTCCTCCCCCTGTGCCAGCTCCCAACCCTTCAGCTCAAATTTTGAAAAAATCGATAAAAGTAATAGGTGATGCCAAAAACTAATATTGTATTCGTAATCAGCATGCTCGATTACCCCTCTGCTAACTCACAACCTCGTAGCTCGAACTTTGCAA